CTCTTCGCGTCTGTTTCTAAAATTTGATTATGAATTTCGGTATATTTACTAACTAAAATTTGATTATATTATTAACTGTACGTGATGACACGAATGTCATTTGTAGATAAGCTTATCAAGCAAGTTATTATTGTTTAATATACACTGCATGCATTATTTGTTTGCAGAATGCCTGCAAAACGTGGACGAGTAAAGAAGAGAGAAAGAGATGATAAAGTGAAAGGAGCAACTAAAAATGTTAACAATGATAAGGAAGATATGAACAATGAACATGAAGAGATGCAAAATGAGCAATGTATCATCGAGAAAAAGAAGAAGAAAGTTGAAAAAAATGGCAGAGAAATCAAAATTATCAGCTGGAATGTTGCTGGACTTCGAGCGTTGATTAAGGTCAATTTAATTTTATGTGCGAAAGTTCAAAAGTTCAAAAAAAGAAAAATTGTGTTCAAAAGTAGCTTAAGCAGAGTTATTTTAATATGATGAGTTATTCATATATGGTCTTATTATGTAAAATTAAAAGGTAGTTCTTGAAATTAGAGCTTGTCATTCGTATATAATTAGTGCTGCTTAAGTTTAATCCGAAGAATGCAATTGATATTTGAAAAAGATATGTACTAATTAGAAAAAATTTTAATTAACATTTAAAATTTTTTTGTCTTTAGAAGAATGGACATTCAGTTTTGGTTGAAGAGAATCCGGATATTATTGCTCTACAAGAGACAAAATGTGTAGATGTTCCAAGTGAATTGCAAAATGGCTACCATACTTTCCTAAATGCTTCAGAGAAATCGGGACATGGTGGTGTATTGTTGCTTACAAAAGAGGAACCAATAAAAGTGAAATTTTTACGCTTCAAATTGCATTAATGCAAAAATTCAAAAATAAAACAAAAATGTAACATAATTTTTTTGTTCATTCATGCATATACTATTTTTAGGTAACATATAGTTTTGATGATAAATCCAAATGTGATATAGATGGGAATGGTAAAGGACGGATTATTATTGCTGAATATGAAAGTTATTACCTTATTAACGCTTATGTTCCGAACAGTGGACGTGGTTTGGTGAATCTGGACAAGCGGAAAATTTGGGATGATTACTATCTCACTTTTATTAAAAAACTTGATTTAAATAAACCTGTTGTATATGTTGGAGACCTAAACGTTGCACATCAGGAAATTGGTAGGTAGTTCGAATATTTTCAATAATCCATAATTATAGAGAATATCATTCATTTTCGTGAATTCATTTTTCATTTAGATTTGGCGAATCCAAAAACGAATCGTAACAAGACAGCTGGATTCACAGATCAGGAACGGAATGATTTTACTCGACTACTTGATGCCGGTATTTATTACCTTAATGTTAGGTGATCATAACTACAAAAAATAAATTCTTTAATCCTATATGAAATTCCGTTGTTTCTCTGTAAAATTTCTGTATTTAAAAATTCTCATTACAGGATTTGTGGACGTTTTTCGTCGGTTGAATCCAGACAAAGAAGGTGCCTATACATTTTGGTCAAACATGCACAATGCAAGAGAGAAGAATGTCGGCTGGAGGTGTATTTTTTTTTCATTTTATTTATTTTAAATTATCTTTTTCCAAAAAAAAAGTGCAAGTCTGTCTTCTGTCATGTTTGCTAATTTAAGTTTACTGAATATCTTTCAAAAGTTTATAATTTTCAGGCTCGACTATTTTGTGGTTAGTGAGCGAATTATGAATAAAGTGAAAAAGTGTGATATTCTGCATTCAATCAAAGGAAGCGATCACTGTCCCCTGAGTCTTACAATTGAATTGTGAAAAGATCTATCCATTGAATATTTTCCTATTGTATTTAGCTATAATACGCAATATTTTGAGATCTTGAAATTAAATTTGCATCTCGAAGTCTAAGCTTCATATCTATTCTTTTAAGTCACTTTCAAGAACATTTTTACCTCATTGCAATAACTCTCAACTAAGTAAATTTACTTATTTGTTTGCTTATTTTGTTGTTTTTGCATTTTTTTTCACTTTTTTTATTTACTTTTTTGTTTCTCTTAAGCAAGCTTTAAGCTGCGGGGTACTTATACTTGTATCGTTGGAAGTTTTAACAACATATTTGAATAAAAACATATACGTTCATAAAACAGAGATTGAGGAAAGAAGAAAAATTTATGGAAATGATAGGTGCTCAGATGCTAATAATATAATGCATACTTCAAAGAGATGAATTCATTCATTGGTTTCACTTTTTTTTTTTTTTTTTTTTTGCATTTTGGTTAAATAGAATTGAATCATTTAGTGACAGTAAACATGAATTATAAATGCCGATATAGAGAGATGAAAATGAAGAAAGAAAGAAAGAAAGAAAGAGGGTTGTTTGAACACAGAAGCGCCAATATATTGTCTAGATGTTGACTCTTTCTTTTTTTTTTTTTTTATGAAATGATTGAAGAAACGATTACTAAGCAAGTACTTACTGTCTCTACTATTTCACATCTCATCCTCATTCTTTCAATAAATTGATACGTTACGTTTTCGAAGAACTTTGTTCTCTTTCATTTTGTCACATTATAGTAGAGGTCGTTGTCGTACATTGTAATGTCATTTGGTCCGTCTGTTTGTTTCTTCGCATGTCATCATCTATCCATCTATCCTTTAAGTAGTAGCATTTGTGCTGTATGGCAAATGTCTATTTACTATGCTTTCCTTAACCCTAATTAATCACCTGCAATATGAAAGGTGTATGTATTATTTCCTATTTTCCATTGCAAAAATGACATTCTTTCTATTCAATTCTTATGCAATATATACACTTCATCATTTGTATAAAATTTAATTATATTAATAAAATTTCAAATAAATATTAATTTTATTTACGCTCTATTAAGTCTATTAAATTCTCCCTCCAAAACATACAATCTTTTCTTTTTTTTTTTTCAAACAATAATCAGTAATTCGATCGATGGTAGTTGTTGTGTAATGTATTACCAAATGTCTTATTCAATTATTTCATTCATTTTTTTAAGTGTATATCGTATTTTTTTTTATTTTATTTTATTTTTTAAATGTATTTTTTTTTTTTGATGTACTCTTTTCTTTTGCCTAAAAAACCAATGGAAGATGATTATCAATTGATGGTATTTGATTGATTACTGCCAAGATAACCACTCTTTTTTTTTTTTTTTTTTTTGTTTATAATTTATTGTTGCAACTAATTCGTAATCGTTTGCATTTTGAACAGTTATCTAGTGAGAGTGTAGACTATTTCAATTTATAATTATTTTCAAATTTCTAATTTTCTATGTTTTTTTTTTTCCTAATAAACTTCTAATTTTGAATTCTTTCATAAAAATGTTATTTTATTTTTAAATCTATAAATATTCCATCCTTTTTATTCATATCAAATAATATTGCTTCTAATTATTAGAACAATTAGAAGTGTTAACTTTTGAGCAATCAATTTTTCAAATTTAACTAATAATAGTAAAAATTTAAAATGTTTGGAAGGCAAAAAGCATTCAAAGCATAATCAATAAATTTAAGCTCTTTCAATTGAACAGACGACTTAAATACTGAAAAGCATTTAATTCAACTGTTGCTAATTAGTCATACATACCGCTTAAATGCATTTATCTTACCAAAAATGAATCATCAATTCGAGAAGTCGAATTTCTCTTCCATTTTTTTGATTAAAATCAAAATTGATAAATAGAAATGATAGCTTAATATAAACGTACCAACAACATATCATTTCATTCACACATTATGAATCATTGCACAAATCCCATTTTACTGTTCAATCGATTATCTCAAATCACTTTTTTTCCGATTTTATCAATACTACCATAACATGCTAATATGCTAATACTAACAATCATATATTTGCATATTAATATTATCTATCAATCGTATATTTGCAGCAAAAAAAAAGAAAAAAAAAAAAACTTTTTTTCGTTATCAGTTATGATAATCTTTTTATTCCATCTATTAATAAAATTGTTGATAAATTGAAATCATCTAATCTTAAACTGATAAACTAACTAATCTTAAAATGATGAATTAATTAATCTTAAAATGATGAATTAACTAATCTTAAAATGATGAATTAACTAATCTTAAAATGATGATTTAATTAATCTTAAAATGATGAATTAATTAATCCTAAAATAAACAAACTAACCTTAACATTATCATTTGCTATTTTTATCGTACTATGATCAGTTTTTTTTTTTTTTTGCAAAATTAATCTTCGAGTTAATTATAATTTTTCACTTAATTTACTTAAATAATAGTAAGTAAATTTTTACACTTATAAACAAGCTTATTACCATAAATACATATGAACAGTGACAGTTTGCGCCCAGTCACTTTGCGCATTCCATTGATGCATTTTATTTCGTTCTTGCAGTGCAATCCAAGAATGAATGATAGAATAGAATTCGATAATGAATAATTCTTATTATTGTTGCATAAATTTACACACATATAACAGTTCGCTTTCATTTATTTCATATTTTCTCATATTTCTTCCATAAAACTTTTCATTTTTTTTTTTTTTTTTGAATTATATAAATTTTATTTTACTTAACAATCTGATAAAAACTATTATTTGTTTTTGCTAATTTAAACTATTATTATATCAATAAAAAATGAAAGTATGTTTAACAAATAAATTGCTAAATAAATTTATTATATCAATAAAAAATGAAAGTATGTTTAACAAATAAATGTGCATACATTTTAAAAGAGTATACTTTAACTTAACATTTGCTGAATAAATCATTTTGCTATCATTTTTTTTTTTTTTTTTAAAGTAATATTTCTGAATAAATCATTTATACTACAATTTTTTCACCAATCAAAAATAGGCTAAAATTATCATGATAAATATGATAACAAGAAGAAAGGTTTAATTTAAATAAAATTTATTTCTTATAGCAATTGGATAATCAAATAGAGCAGCAGCAGCAGATTATCGTCCGGAAATTCCTAAAATTAGGATTAAAAAAAATGGGCTGTTTAGCCTTTCGATCATATTTATTTATAATTACTATCATTTTAACAGTTTATTTTGGTGATACGGAAAGAGCAGATCAAGATTATGATAATTATCAGGAATTTGCTGTTGTAGAAGGACGTAAGCTTAGAGTTATTCATTACTAGATCATATTTATTTTAATTTTAATTACAAAAAAAAAAAAAAAAAAAAATTATTTTTATTTTTCAGTAATTAAAATGTTTGAAATGATTTTTTTTTTTTTAGAAATTTAAAAATTTTCCATTTTTTTTTTATATTTTCCATATTAAAATTATTATACAGAGCATGGTCTTTTTCCAACAATTTTCAATTTGGCAACAAATGCGCTAATTTATGCGGATGCTACCTGTGGTCAACATAATCGTGAAATTTATTGCAAATTAGTGGAGCATGTTTTTAACAGGTGTTTTTCAATTATATGATGAATACAGCATTTTATGTAAAAAATTAAAATTTCAAATTTAAAAAAAAAATTATTGCTTATTAATATTTGAAAATTCAAAAGAGAATGTATCTCTTTTTTTTTTTTTTTCAGTAATTCCCACATTTCTCTCTTAATATCTTCTTTCTATCATATTTTCTCAGAAATATTCAAAAGGGAATATTTTTATTATCATTATTTATCTCTTTTTTTTTCCTTAGCCTTTATGTTAGTTTTTTTTTTTGTTATTTTGATTTTTAAATAAATCTAATCTATAGGCAACCGCAATGTGACGTTTGTGATGCAAATGACGTACGGAAACGTCATCCAATTGAATTTGCAATTGATGGTACACGACGTTGGTGGCAAAGTCCATCGTTAGCTAATGGACTTGATTACGAACGGGTCAATATTACCATTGACCTGAGACAGGTGTCATTTCTTTTTTGTATGTATGATGCAAGTGTTAGAAATAAAATTTGAAATTGAAATTTTTATCCAATATCATCAGAGATTTTTCATAATCATTTCTTTCTTTTTTTTTTTTTCCTAACATTTAACATTTAAAAGAAAAAGAAAACATAATGCTTTAAAAGGAATAATAATTAATTTTTGAAATAATATAAATATCAAAAATAGAAAACAATGATAGCTTAAGTTTTATTTAACTAAAAAATGAAATTAATTTAAAAAAAAATAAGAAAAAAAAATGAAAGTGCTAAATTTAAAGGAATATCAAGTAGCGTATGTAATTATAAAAAGTGCAATTGCACCTCGACCTGGAACTTGGATTTTGGAGAAATCACTTGATGGTATTAATTATCAACCATGGCAATATTATGCAGTTAGTGATGCTGAATGCTTACGACAATTTAATGTACCAGCAACCACTGGTGTACCACGATTTACACGAGATGATGAGGTTTTCATTAAAGATTATTTAAATTTATTAAAAATAATAGAAATGAATTTTGTTTATTTTTTGAATTTTTTAAAAATAATGGAAATGAATTTTATTTGTTTAATTTTTGAATTTATTAAAAATAATGAAAATGAATTTTATTTGTTTAATTTTTGAATTATAATTTATGAGTGAGAATGTTTTATAGCTTTTAAATGCAATTTATCATTCATTTAATCATTAAGTTTTCACTTAAAATTCTCCGTTTTTTTTTTTTTAAATATAACCTTTAAAAAAAAAAAAAAAATTACAGGTAATATGTACATCATACTATTCAAAACTTGATCCGTTAGAAAATGGTGAGATTTACACGTCACTCGTAAATGGACGACCATCTGCTGAAGCTGCATCTGAAACTTTACAGGTAGCATAAATTATTTTAAAATTAAAATATTTTAGAACAAAATTATTTCTGCTTAATTTAATGCTTTTTTTAAAAAAAAAAAAATTAAAACTAACATTAAATTCATGCATAACTTTAGCAATTTACTCGAGCTCGTTATGTACGTCTACGCTTGATGAGTTTACGTACATTAAACGCTGATTTAATGATTATCAATCGACGTGATAAGAGTAACAGATTAGATCTGTCGGTGACAAGACGTTACTTCTATGCTATCAAGGATATCAGTATTGGTGGTCAGTGCATTTGTCACGGACATGCAGAAAGTTGTCCACCTGATCCGGTCACTGGGGTAACATTTTGATTAAAATAACTGCTGATAATTCAATACCAATTAATGTAATCTCACATTAAAGCATCAATCAATATACTAATTAAAGTTATTAATTACTGAATTTCAAAAAAAAAGGAAAAGATTAGACTATATTTAATTTTTGGTTAAATAATAAATTTTAATTAGTTTATTTCTAACTTTCAGCAATCACGTTGTGAATGTCGTCATAACACGTGTGGTGAATCCTGTAGTAAATGTTGTCCATTATTTAATCAACTTCCGTGGCGTCAAGGAACGCAATTACATCCTAATGTTTGCCAACGTAAGTTTAATTTATTTTATTAACATTGAAGAATTAAATCTAATAAAACATTTTTAATTTTTCGTTTTAATTTTAGCTTGTCAATGTTTTAATCATGCAACACATTGCGAATACGATGAAGAAGTGGAACGATTAGGTTTAAGTGTTACACCGGAAGGTATTTTTGAAGGTGGCGGAAAATGTATCGCCTGTAAAGTAAGTCATTTATCATTTTTGCATTTCTTCTTCAATAATAAAATTTAAATTCATTCCAAACAAATATTTGAAATATTTCGCTTAAAAAAATACTTGTCGTAATTTCAGCATAACACTGACGGAATAAACTGTGAACGTTGCATGTGGACATATTTCCGACCGTCCGGTGTTACGCATTATCGAGAAGATGCATGCCGACCTTGTGATTGTGATCCAATCGGTTCCGAGCATAATAATTGTGTTCGAGATGAGACAAGCGCGGATGGTGATCAAGTAAGTTAACTTATCAAATTTATCAAGATTGCAGTTATTAGTAAAAGTATTGTTTTGAGCTTATGAAACTTAATGTATTTCAAATTTAAATTCAATTTGTCACATACAGAAGCCAGGTGATTGTATCTGTAAACCGGGATTTGGTGGACGTCGATGTGATGTTTGCGCACCGGGCTACCGGAATCATCCAAAATGTGAGCCATGTCCTTGTAATCGAGCTGGTTCCCTGAATTTTGACACCTGCGAGGAAGAACATTGCATTTGCAAGGCAAACGTAGAGGGCGTTTATTGTGACCGATGCAAGGTCACTTTCAACTTTTTGACCTTTCACATATTTTTAATATTTTTTAAGAATTTCAATCATCTTAAAAAATCAAGCAATAATCACAGTTGCTGGTAGGATATTTTCATCAATTAGTTCGTTGAATTTATAATTAGACTAATTAAAATGAAAAAAAAAGCTTCTAAATCAGACCTCTCATTCAGTATTATAATTTTAAAAATTTGTCACAAAAAAGTGCTTTGTTAAATAACTCAAAGTGTTTGTTTGAAATTTTTTTAAAATTGATAATTTGCTCATTTGCAATATTACTATTAAATGTAATAAGTAATAATTACTCGGAAAGTTAAGTTATCAGAAATAGAAGGCAAATAGCAGATGGAAATTTGCATTTTCCAGGTGTGTTTATTTACATTAAAATTTTTAGGAAGGTACAATTAACCTGGATATGAAAAATCCAAAAGGTTGTCAACCTTGTTTCTGTTTTGGTCTTAGCAATAAATGTCATGAAAAGCAGTGGAATCGTGGCGAGGTACCATACATACAATTTATATCTAATATTTTAATATTTCAAAAATTTTTGAAAAGTAAATAAATCCGTTTTTTTTTTTTCTGATTTCTGATTTCAGTCTCGAAAAGTAATACTAAAGACCAATGATTATTATATTAGCATATTAACTGTTACACGTTTTTCTTCCTTACTTTAACATTACAATTTTTTATTCTTTTCATTTATTTTAATTATCCGACAAAAAAAAAAAAAAAAAGTTTTAATAAATGAAATCAAATTTATGAATTTACAGATACGAAGCACTACAGGTTGGGTACTAACAGATCTGTCAGGTGAAAAAATAGTTCCACCGAAATCAGAAAATGAAGTATTAATGTATACCAATAGTGAATATAGAAACAATGATTTATACTATTGGAAAGCACCAAAAGAATTTAATGGAAATTTGGTATTTTATTTTTTTTTTAATGAATACTTTTTCAAATTTATTAAATTTCCATTTTATAAATGATAATTCATTGATAGGAATTAATTTTTTTTTTTTTTTTTCTTTTTTTTTTTTTTTTTGAGTAATTTTGGCAAATAATTATTAAATTGGGATCTTTTGTTTTTAAGTTAGAAAAAATTTTTATTTAAAGTAAATTTCATCTGTGAGCTGTATGGATAATTTATTGGTATTATAAATGAATGAAATTTACTTTTATAATTTTAGCTGAATAGTTATGGTGGAAATTTACAATATTTTGTATATTTTGTACCGATGGGTAATGGAGAAGAAACATCAATTCCTGATGTTATCATAGAAGTTGGTGAAATTAAATTATTACTTTTCTTTTTTTTAAAATGATATGTTTGTTTTGTGTGTTGTTTATAAGAATTTTTCTATATTATTCGAAGGAATCAGTGAGCTTTTTTTTCAAATATTTTATGGATGTGAAAGAAAAAAGTGATAGAGCTGTTTAGATGAAAGATTAGATTTATAAGATAGTATAATATAGGTGTATTAATTGAAAATACGTAATCATACGTAAGCGACGTCATTATTCACGTGTATTATTTAATTTATTTTATTTGCATTTGATAATTCTCTCAATAAATTCACTTTTTAGGGTAATGGTATCAAATTGATATAAGATAGTGTAATATAGGTGTATTAATTGAAAATACGTAATTATACGTAAATGACGTCATTATTTACGTGTATTACTTAATTTATTTTATTTGCATTTGATAATTCTCTCAATAAATTTACTTTTTAGGGTAATGGTATCAAATTGGTATAAGATAGTGTAATATAGGTGTATTAATTGAAAATACGTAATTATACGTAAATGACGTCATTATTTACGTGTATTATTTAATTTATTTTATTTGCATTTGATAATTCTCTCAATAAATTTACTTTTTAGGGTAATGGTATCAAATTGGTATAAGATAGTGTAATATAGGTGTATTAATTGAAAATACGTAATTATACGTAAATGACGTCATTATTTACGTGTATTATTTAATTTATTTTATTTGCATTTGATAATTCTCTCAATAAATTCACTTTTTAGGGTAATGGTATCAAATTGATATAAGATAGTGTAATATAGGTGTATTAATTGAAAATACGTAATTTATACGTAAATGACGTCATTATTTACGTGTATTATTTAATTTATTTTATTTGCATTTGATAATTCTCTCAATAAATTCACTTTTTAGGGTAATGGTATCAAATTGGAATATTATAGTCAACAGAATTTCTTTCCCAGAGAAAATATTAGCATTCAAATACCAATGAAAGAAGACAGTGGTTGGCATAATTCACATATGCGTACGCTTACTGATAAGCATGAAATGATGCGTGTTTTAGCTGATCTTAACACAATGCTAATACGAGCTTTGTATAATAAGGAACAAATACAATCCAGGTAGTTTAATTAATATAATCCAGGTAGTTAATTTAATATAATCCAGGTAATTTATTTAATATAATTTAATAAATCCAGGTAGTTTAATTAATATAATCCAGGTAGTTTATTTAATACAATCCAGGTAATTTACTTAGTATGATCCAGGCAACTTATTTAATGTAACTTAATAAATCCAGGTAGTTTATTCCATATAATTTAATATAATCCAGATAGATTATTTAATACAATCCAAGTAGTTTATTTAATATAATGCAGGTAGTTTATTTCATATAATTTAATACAATCCAGGTAGTTTATTTAATCTAGGTAGCTTCTTGCTATCTAATCATTTACTATCTTTAATGTTATCAATTAATTTTATTTTCGATATCAATGAAATATACATGTATATAAAATAGTGATTATCTTCAACGATAAATTTATTAACTGTTTACATTTCTTCTTAGCAATCAATTCAAATTATTATTTGATTAAATTTTTATAGTATTTATGGATTAACACTTGACACAGCGATTGAATCGAAGAAAACAACAGAGAGTACAGATGGATTATTACCTAATACACTGATGCGTGGCGTGGAAGTATGTCAGTGTCCCGAATATTACGCAGGCAATAGTTGTGAAGTAAGTTATTCACGTAATAACAAAAAAAAAAAATTTTTTTTTACGTCATTTTTATATAAAATATTACTATTATTTATTACATACTTTCCTTTAGAATATATTAAAATACGATTAAAACACTTAACACGTAACGTTTTTTTTTTTTTTTTAAATTTATTTTGCAGCGTTGTATATCAGGATATCGTAGAGTAAACAATCAGCTATTCGATGGTCATTGCGAGAAATGTAATTGTGAAGGACATTCATTTGAATGTGATCCTTTTACGGGTGATTGTATCAATTGTCAAGTGAGTAGTAATATTATAGATTAATTAATTAATTACAAAAAAAAAAAAAAAAGGAGCAAAGTTAAAAAAAAATAATTTTAATTTTGTTAGCAAAAATAAAATTTAACATTTATTACTTAAGCACAATACAACTGGTCGTCGATGTCATCAGTGTTTACCCGGACATTATGGTAATCCATCATTGGGTGGTGAATTTGGTCAATGTCACCCATGTGCATGTCCAACTATCGAGAATAGTCATTCTGCGTTATGCAGTCTAACGCAACTTATTGTTGGTGGTGCTGCAGCGTACGGTGAAGACGCGTACGTTTGCACCGCGTGTGAACATGGCTACGATGGTAATAAATGCGAAATGTAAACATTTTAATAAAATTTTGCATAACTTTTGCTAAAAAAAAAAAATTGGTGGAAGAAAGTTTCTTACTAAAAAAAAATGTTTTATTCAAAATTTGTCTTCATAAAATTTTGTTAATTAATAAAAAACATAAAGATTTTAATTTTTAATATAAACTTTTAGAAAAAAAAAAGGAGTGAAATTTTCTAGTTGTGCTGATGGTTTCTTTGGTAATCCGCTTATAAAGAATGGTACCTGTGAACCGTGTAATTGTAATGGTAACATTGATCCAATGACTATTGGAAATTGTGATCGGAAAACAGGAAAATGCTTAAAATGCATCTATAATACAGCCGGTGATCATTGTGAGAAATGCAAAGAGAATCATTGGGGTAATCCGAAAGATAAATCCTGTCGACCATGCGGTTGTCACCCTAAAGGTTCCCATTCGGCAACATGTGACAAATTAACCGGTATTTGTGACTGTCACAATAATTATGTGGGTATGCAGTGCAATCGATGTAAGGTAAATTTAAATAAATAAAGAAAAAAATTTCTTTTAGGGAAAAACTTTTTGTAGAAGAACCTGAAAATTGGAAGAACCTTTTGATCTAACTTAAAAATTATTTTTCCTTTTTTTTTTTTAAAGGATGGACATGGCGACATTGAAAATATGTGTCCTGCTTGTAGTTGTAATATGACCGGTTCCTTTAGCAGTGAATGTGATGAAGTATCCGGTCAAGTTCGTTTTCTTTTTTTTTTTTTTTTATTCTTTAGAAAATATATGGAATAAATCCTATTTAGTTTAATTAAATAACTTGAAATATCGGAAATTAGTATGAATTAGATCTTGTAGTTTGCTGTTGCTATAAATTAAATTAATTAAAACTTTTGATAGTGTAGAAGGGAAGAAAATGACTGGAAAGCTTCAAATGATCAAGAAAATATTGTCATAATTGTACACTTAAGTAAATTACCAATTACTTAATAAGCAAATAGATTTGATAAGTTAAAAAAACAGATCGATTTAAATTCATTTGCAATTTACGGAAGTAAAAACTTTGAAAAAAAAGGAAAAGCAAAGATTTTTTTTTTTCAGTGTGCTTGCAAGACAGGTGTATTTGGAAAGCAATGTGACATGTGTAGAGCAAGTTATTTTAATTTTTCCGAGAATGGTTGTGAATTTTGTCACTGTAATGCATTTGGTGCAATAGATGATGGTCGTTGTGATAATGTCACCGGAAAATGTGAATGTCGCAAAAATGTAGATGGAAAAATGTGTGAAAAATGTGCAAATGGTTATTTTAATATAACTAGTGGACTAGGATGTCAAGTAAGAATTTTTAGAAAATTTTTTAAACTTTTTACTTTTTCTTTATTCAAATTCAATTTGTGTTAATTTTTTATGTTCATTTAATTTAATTTTTTACATTTTTATTATTGTATTTTAAAATAAAAATTACTAGGCATGTGATTGCGATTCAATAGGCTCTAAAGGTATCCAATGTGATACACATACAGGCCAATGTGATTGCAAATCTGGTGTTACTGGATTAAAGTGTGACAAATGCGCCCCGAATCATTTTGGATTAAATGCAAATGGTTGTAAAGGTAAAATTGAATTTCTTCCTAATTTTGTAAACATTTAAATTAATAATTGAAAGTTTTGAAATGTTATTTGTTAATTAATATTAATTTCAAATTTGTTTCTCTCTTTGTTCTTTTTTTTTTCCAGAATGTCGTATATGTCCAGCACCTGGTCATATTTGTGATTCAATAACTGGTGAATGCATTTGCCCACCTAATACCATCGGTGAAATGTGTGAAAATTGTTCCAGTAATGCATGGAATTATGATCCGTTAAACGGTTGTACTCTCTGTGATTGTTCCGGTATCGGTGCTGATGGACCAAATTGTAATCCTCAAACCGGACAGGTAATACAACTATCTAATTGATATATTAAATAAATATATATTTATGTATGTATGATCATCGTTTAATTTTAGTGTAATTGTCGATTGGGTTTTGTTGGTTTAAAATGTGATCGATGCATTCATGGATATTTTAATTTTCCGCAATGTGAATTATGTAATTGTGATTTATCCGGAACTGATCCAGCAACCTGCAAAAATGGTGCATGCCTTTGTGATGAGATTGGACAGTGCAGCTGCAAGGTAGATGACATGCATTTCATATGTTTTAATTAATTTTCTTAAAATCTACTAATGCTAATCTTCCTTTATCAATAATAATATTTCAATTATTATCATGAAAAAATAAAATAAAATAAATTGTAAAATTTAAATTTATTTATTAAATTTTATAACAAAAAAAAAAATATATGCATATTTTAGAAAAATGTGATAGGATTAAAATGTGATAGTTGCGATGCATATAGCTTTAGTCTCGAGAAAAGTAATATATTTGGTTGCACCGATTGTTTCTGCTTTAATCGTACTAATTTCTGCGTACAAAGTAGTTTTGTATGGCAACAAATTTATGCATCCGATCGACAGGTAATTTAGTAAACTTTACCCTAAGCAATGGGTTTTTTTTTTTTATTTAATATTTTATTTTAATAAAACTCTCTTTTTTTTTTCCTTGAATTTCAGAAATGTAATATAAATTATTGGTATAACAATTTTATTTATCAAATTTTTTGATATTTAAAAAAAAAAAAAAAAGATTTTATGTGAAAAATTTTCAATTTTTATTTTAATTAAGGTAATATTCTCAGAACCATGGAAATATTATATACGTAAACATAATTTGAATGTGCTTAGAGAGAAACCATTGATATACAATAGTTATCCAACAGATATTACACCTTTATATTGGTACTGTTTTTGAAAATATTTTCATTTCATTTCACAAAATGAAATGGCCTACTTCCGGATTACTATATACTTTAGAAAATTCAAATCGGGAAAAAAGAATTTTTTCTTGAATGATTTGAATAGTTTCTTGAATAATTTTTTTTTTTTTTTTGAACATAATTGAAAATCGCTATTTCAAATTCATAAGATGTATAAGAAAAAAAAATGAAATGATTTTTTGATTTTTATACTTTATTAAATTGATAAATACGGATTTCAGGCCTCTTCCATCAAGTTTCCTAGGTGATCGAACAGCATCCTATAATGGATTTATTCGTTTCACAATCAAAAATGATGATAATTATCGTGGTATTACTAATGTAGCACCTGATCCACAACATTTCCGCTTCTTTCCACAAATTATTTTGGTTAACTTTTGTTTTTATCTACTATTTCTCGAACTAAGGTGAGAAAAAATGAGGGAAATAATTTGAATTAAATTTCGATTTAAAATTTCTAATCCTATAAGTTTCTTTCTATAAACTGTAATTGATATCAAGTTTACTTAATTAACAGGTTGGCAATCATCGTATCATTCTGGAACATACACCTGATGCAGTGAATCAATCAGGACGCTACAAAATTCGTTTACATGAAAGTCAATGGCGTTCACGTTTAAGTCCTGACGTACCAGTAACACGTAAACAGCTAATGATTGCTTTGCAAAATTTGCAAGGCATTTATGTCAGAGCAACATACAACTATCCATCTACGTTAATTTTTTTCTGAAAATTTCATTTTATATTTTGAATAGAACAAAAAGCAGTAAACAAATAATAACCTTTGCCCCCTATTAGTTATATTAACTTTAAGCTATAACTATTCATAGCAACAAATAAACAATAAATTTCAGTGGTGATACAGCTTCTATCAATGAAATAAGTATCGATGTAGCTGTTTGGGATAATACAACTGATACATCAAATTCAGTTGCAATTGGTGTTGAATTATGTGAATGTCCTCAGGGTTATGCTGGTTATTCATGTCAAGATCCAGCTGATGGTTATTGCCGGAAAAGACAACCTGATTTCTTGAATAGTCCGGATGATTTGGCATTGATAGGTGGACCACATCCATGCATTTGCAATGGACATTCAACAACATGTGAAGCAGAAACTTGCAGATGCACTGTAAGACATGCATCTCATTTAAATTATTTAATTAAAAAATGAATAGCAAATGAATTTTGAAATTTGTTAAATTTTCTTTATATATTTTCACTATTTTTTTATCATTAACAAAAGAAAAATGCTAATTTCTCTTTTTTTTTTTTCAGAATTGTGAGCATAATACATACGGTGATTATTGTGAACTTTGCAAGCCAGGTTATCAGGGAAATGCATTAGTTGGTGGTGCAAATGCATGCACGAAATGTGCATGTCCATTACCGGATAATAGTTTTAGTGATACATGTTTAGCAGTAGGTAATGATGGAGGATATATGTGTGATGCATGTAAACCGGGTTATACCGGAATGCACTGTGAAAGTTGTCTGACCGGATACTATGGTAATCCAAATGTGATCGGTGGTATGTGTAATGAATGTGCTTGTCATCAGCATGGCTCAGTTCATGGAATTTGTAATCAGGTAAACAAATTCTTTTTTTTTTTCTATTCTTGAAAATAAAATCAGTTTGTTTGTTTGTTTGTTAATATTTGAAAAATATTTTTTATTTTATGTAAATTAAATGATAATTTTGATAATCAGTTTCTGTTGTAATTTTTTAATTATTTTAGGAGACAGGTCAATGTGAATGTCGTCCAGGTTTATCAGGTCGTGATTGCTCATTATGCAAAGAACGACATGCATTCATGAATGGTATATGTACATCATGTGATCAAGGCTGTACTCGTGATTTAATGAAAGAAATGGATAATTTAGAAGAAATTATGAGACAACAAAATTTTACAAATTTAAGACCAATACCATGGAAACGTGCTGCTCGAATAAGTAATACAACAAAAAGTAATGATGCAACGTTTTGTTTTAATCTTTTTAATTTATTACAATTATTTGATGCTAAAATATAAAATTCATAAAAGGACTAATTTTATTTATCATAAAAGTTATAAATATAATTGTCATAAATTATCATAAAAAGTCTAATTTTAATCTTTAATCTCTGTATATAATGTTTTAAAGATAAATCAAACTATTTGTCATAAATGAAAACAATTAGCAAAAATGTGTTTATTTCAGGTTTGCATTTAACTTTGGAATCATTACAGTTGGAAAGTTCGATTGATGATGATACAACTAAAAGTAGCCTTAATATTGATGATAACTTCTTAGATGAAGTTAATGGATTGGTTGAGCAGACGAAATTTTTGCTAGAACGAACTAATAAGTCAAAAAATACCTTACAAAAGAGCATAGCTAAAACTGAAAAATTATCTGAGAGAGCTCGAGAACAGGAAGAAATTCTTCATGAAGTTATCAGTCAACTACGAAATTATATCAATTACGGATTTGGAAAACAGGATAGCTCAAAGATTGGTATTTTGATTCAGGAAGCAAATATCCATGTAAATGCAATGAAGGAACGTGGAATTTACATTGAAAAACGTTACAATCGTGGAAAGACCGATTTCGAGTTAGTTTTACTGAAATTTCAAAATTTTTTTTTTCTGCTTACTTATCAATAATACTTTAAAAAAAAAGCTTGTTATATCATTTAGAAAGCAATAAAATATTATTATCCTAAATGAATTTATTTGTTATATTTTTTTTTTCTTAAAAAAAAAATACCTCTTCAGATTATTGATTTTTTTTTTCATTTTTTGAATCTTTTCTAGTAATTAATATAATTTTAATAGGTATTTTTTTCATTTACAGGATATACCTGAATAGCAGAATATTTTCAGGAAATCTCAAGATTTAATGAAGTTGATAACATCACGTATGCTAAATGATACCTCATTTGTTGAGTTACGTAAACAACTGGATGCATTTGAACAATGGTTACACGATTATCGAGATACAATTTGGGATAGAGCACGTCAGGATACCGTATCATCCGATAAAGTAGCAATTATAGTAGCGAAACGTGTAAATCGATTTAATGACGTAAAAGCAAATATCACAGAATTATTAGCTAAAGCAACGGATGAATTAAGCGAAGCAGAAAATAAAGTATCAATTGCAAAAGCAGAAAAAATTTTGGCTATGTTCGATGATTTCAAGGTTTTTGCTCATAATTTATTTTTTAAAATCACACTAATATAATTGAACAAAATGTATGATTGAGAAAATTAAATATCATTCTTTTCAGATAATTAATATAATTTTCAATAATTTATTTTTATAGCAATTGAAGAATTGAACCATTTTATCTATTCAAAAAAAAAAAAAAAAATTTTTTTAATCTAGTATCTTCTTTGAATGTTGGATGTGAAACTGAAAAAGTTATTCTATAACTTTTTGAGTTTTCTTTTTTTATTCCATTATCAAATACTTAAATAATTGTTTTTTAATTTTTCCATTATCATATACTCGAAAACTTTTTGTTATCAGCTTATCAATGAAACAGTACTACCGCAAGTAGATGAGATGACAAGAAAATGTCGCGATGAAGCGGACAAATATGGTCAACTTTTGGATGCATATCACGAAGAATATGTAGAAAAAAGTGAACATCACGCTGCAGCACTGGAAGATGAAGCGCAAAAATTGAAAAAGTAAAAAAGTTAATAATTCTTTGTAGAATTATTTCGTTTTGTATAAATAACATACATTTATGAAGTCTAATTATTATTATTATTATTATTTTTAATTTTTAGTTCTTTTGCGGATACAAAAGATGCCGCAGCTGATCCTGTTCGTGCATCAAATGCTTACAAAGAAATTCTTGATGCGTTACGGAATGCTAGTGAAGCAGCGGAAGGAGCAAAGAAAGCTGCGGAATTTGCATATATTGATGCGGATCCAAAATCTGATATCTCAATGGTTAATATGGCATTACAGGCCAAGAATCGCAGTGTGGATATTAAGGAAGAAGCAGATGAACTTGGCTTAAAAGATTTGGAGAAGGAACGTTTGACAGCCAATATGGCTCTAAATGAACTGAAGGAAACATTGCAAAATTCAATGAAACGAAAAATAGGAATAAGTAAGTTTGAAACTTTCATACTTTTATCAATTAAAAGAATTAAAAAATAAAGTTAAAGTAAGGATGGAGTTAAAGTAAAAATTTCTATCAGAAGTTTTAATTGTCAATTATCATGCTTTTTGAGGTAACTTATTCGCCATCATCTATTTTCCCAATTATAATAATTTGAAATTCAGGTGAGCAATATCAGTCATTCGATGATCAACATGATCGAATGACCGGATTGATTAGTGTGGTTGATGATGCGGAAAAACGAGCCAAAAATGTACATCAGAAAATGCAAGAAATATCGGTCGAAATTGCTACAATGAGCGATGCTGTTTCGAAACTGAAAGGCTTTGCTGGACAAGGCATCCGGAATGTCACTAATGACGGTTAATTAAATTATTCTAAAATTTAAAAAAAAAAAAAACGAAACTTATGAAAGTAATGAAGGAAACTGTGTGTTATCGAAAAGTGCAGAAATTAATAATCGATTAATTTCTAAATTCTTTAAAAATTATAAAAACTTTCTTATAATGTTGTATATTTCAATAACATTTCAATTTATGAAAATTGTTGAAAATTGCAGCTTAAATTCATTTTATGTTCTTTTTAGATGTTCAAATTTTAAGATTTCATTTATTTCAAGTAGCTAATCACTCGCTTTGGTGACATTTCAGATTATTAATTGTTAGCATAAATGTTTCAAATAATTAATTGTATGAATTTTAGTACGCAAAGCTAATCAAGGAGCACAGGAAGCAATGAAAAAAGTTTCTGAAGTGAAAAAGCAAACAGACAACGATTCGAAACGAATTAATGTTTTGGGTGAACAAATTAAATTATTACAGGAAAAAATTAAAGAAGCACGAGAGAAGGCATCACGCGTAAGTAAAATTATATTATTATTTTTTTAATGAATATCAATTTTAGTTCGATATTGTAATCTTTAATGGTAGAAACTTATGACAATTACTTTATTTTTTATTATTTTGAACACTTATGCAAATAATATTGGAAAATTATTAGTTTCAATTTGTTATTTTTTTTTTTTCAAAATTTACTATTTTCAAATATTTATTGTTAACAGTTTTTTAAAAAAATGGATGAAAAAATCGAAATAAATAAATTTGCAAATTGTTTATTTTATTACAGATTCAAATTTCGATGAAATCTGATGAAAAGGGTGATTGCCGCCGCGCTTTTATCTCACCTGCGCATTTGGCTCCAACTAACTTATTCACCATTAAATATCGTCCTTTGCGGAATGTTCCGGATTCGTTGCTATTCCTAACAAAAACCAAAGCTAAACGCACTCAGCAATCAGAGTACATCGCAATGGAATTAAGAGATCGGCGTATTGTTGTGCACTGGAATATCGGTTCCGGTATACGTATGGCTACCAATACACATACTATTAATTATATTGCACCAAGTGATCGTACTGCCTGGTACCATATAGTATTAAAAAGGTAAGCTGAATATAGCAAATGACAGATTTATTCCGCTTCTCTTCCGTTTCCGCAGACGGATAGCATGAATTAATTATTTTGGCATATAGTTTAATAAAGAAAAACTATTATTGAGAAAAAAGTAAGATTTATGCTTTTACTACTTTTCAGATTTGGCAATTCGGTAACACTGACTGTAGCACTTCATCATACAATAAGTGGTGAAGGTGAACGAACGATTGGTGAACCGACTACCGTTTCGGTAGGTCAACCGGACGAGGATGACAGCATCATTTTCAATACGGTACATGGTGAAACACTGATTCAATTTGGTATTGAAGCAAAGCTTTCACAGGATTTAGGTTTAGCAACTAACAAGTTCCTGGGTACCATTGGTGAATTTACTGTTGATGGTGAAACTTTGCCGCTTTGGGCGTTTGCAGAAAGTACTAGAGTTTGTGAAGGAGATTTTGCTGCACCGGAAAGTCAGGCTACCGGTTACTTTTTCCGGCAAGTTTTTTTCTATTTGAAAATTCATTTACAACAATTCTCTAACATAATGTGATAACAATAATTTCATTATCATAAAAAACAATTCTAATCAATTTTTTAGGGATGGTTTTGCGCAAATTCATCTTCCTTCAACCGAACGACCAAGTGGTGCGCAAATAACAGTGATCTTATCAGCTTATTCACCAAATGGTCTAATATACTTCCGTGGCAATCAGGAAAATGGAGATTTTGTTTGTTTGGAACTTCGTGAAGGACATGTCGTTTTCAGGGTACTCATATTTCTTATCATTTTATCTTCCTCTACTCCTTCATTATTCAAAAATTTATCTCAATAAAATTTCATATCAGTGACTCAAAATTGCATTTGCATGATAAGAAATTTATATCAGTGTTACTCATGTGATATCACTAGGCTTTATTGAATTCTACTTTTTTGCATTATCAGGTCTTGATTATTATATGTTAATCAAATTTTATTTAATTTGATTAAAAAAAAATAAAACTTTTTTTATACCAGAAAATTTATGAGTGATATTTAGATCAATCTTGGCGATGATTCTTATGCACTTGTTAAGTCTAAAAAATCATCATATGCTGATGGACGCTCACATACTGTTCGTGTCATTAGGAATTATGATAAAATACATTTACAGGTTTTTTTTTTTTTTAATTTCTATAATTCAAATTCAAGAGAAATACTTGTAAAATAAGTAGTAAATAAAATATTGTTATAATAGTTAAATGATTAATTTTGATCAACAATCCTGTCAAATTTTATGTTAATTCTAGCAAAATACTAAAAAGAGTATGAAATTTTCGAAATATATAATTTTTGTGAAATTGCATCAAACAAATTTCAGGTGGATGACGAAAGCGATCGTAATTCCGCAACAATACCTGGTGAAAATGCAAAACTGAATATTAACGGCGATGATCACTTTGTTGGCGGCATTCCGCCAGGTTTCAATACTACTGCGTTCCGCAATTTCGACATTCATTGGAATGAATTTTTTGGCTGCATTCAATCAGTTCGACCTTCTCAAGTATTTTTTTATTTTGTTCTATTTTTTTTTTTTTTTTGTAAATTAACTTTTTTCTATTTGCTTACTACTAATGAATTCAAAACTTTTGATCTCTTACTTTTCGAATTTAAAAGTAACGAAGAAAAAATGCATAATGAACTTTAATAATTCCCATAAAATTCCAGTCCATATATGCGTCAATACTTTGATTATTTTTAATTTCGCCAACATTTTTTGAAGAGATGTAAAAATTCAGATACATTTAAATTTAAATGTCATTCAATTTCAGGTTGCAGAATTGGATCTCGACAATCCAATACGTTCACAACGTAAGCTACGTGGATGTACTTTCAGAAATGGTGAAAGATTGGAACCAACTGATAGAGTGGTTAGCTTCAATCGTCCAGGTTATTTGGTTGTTCAAGGAATTCAACTTAGCAATAATTCCACGTTTGTTCATTTTACTAAAATTATTTATTGCAAATTTTTTTTTTTTATATTAAAATTGTTTTTTTATATTTTTTAATATTAAAATCATTTTTTTTAAAAATATTTTTATATTAAAAAGCTGAAATTTTTAACAAATAAACAGATTACTAAGCTAAATATAGCATTAAAAAGAAAAAAAAAAGTATTACTTTTTTAAATCTTTTCAGATTTGCATTTGCATTCCGCACAAAGACCGCTAATGCTACATTGTTATTCCAGTCGAGCGAACTGGAAACTTTCAGAAGACGTCGAAAAATTAGAGATTCTGTTGGAACGGTTAGTTTTTTTTTTTAATCTAAAATCATTTTGATTGTTTTTTGATTAAAAAATAATTTATGTAATTTTGTCAATATTTTTAATAAAGTTTAAAAATTCAATTCTTTCTTTCTTTTCTTTTTCATTTTTAATTTAAATTAATAAATATTGTTAATCAGGGATATCTGGCATTTTATCTCTACCGTGGTTATTTGGTTGTACATCTTGGTACCGATTCATCACAGAAAAGTAAAGTGCTCACATTAAGATCTGAAACTACCTACAACGATGGGCAACTTCATTCTATCTTTTTCACTCGTTTTGAAACATTGTTAGTTTCAAATTATTCATTTTGAATTAAATTCAAATAGATTAACTAAAAGTTTTATAGCTTTGCTATGAATGATAAAAATTTCAACTGGTAGTGTACCACTGTATCCAAGTTTTGATAACAGGAAGATAATGATAAGAGAGAAGAAAAGATAAATGATAACATTGATCACAATGTCATATGCATCTCACAAACTATCATAGACAAGTGTTAAACTTAGAAAAATGATAAAAGTTAATAAATAAAATGATTGTTTATGTAGAGTTCGACTTCGAGTAGATGATCGAGAGGTAGCATCTGGTACCCTTGGTGAGCAGAATACCATTGGAACCGCTTCATCACAATTATTCATTGGTGGATTTCCAGATGGTATAAAACCATCAGCTAATGAAATGCCAATTGCTGAATCAATGATTGGTTGTGTATCAAATATTTTCATTGATTATCGGTTAGTTTAGATTATTCTTTTGAAAGTGAATGAATTAGAATTAGTGATAAATGTTATCATTGATAATATCACAATCTAAACATACATTCTTTTTTATTATCAAATAATATATATTACTAAATATATATCATTTATATGAGAAAAAGTGTACTATTTGAAGTGATCAATATTGATTTCAAATTATGTGAAATTTATTTTGAATGAGCAAAAAATGATAATAATATTTGTTTATGTTTACTTTTTTTTTTTTACAATAAGAATTATTTATCACTAATCTCTCGCAAAATCAATTTCAGACTTGTCCCAATTATACCGGAAGCACACATTGCGTTAATTGGTACCTGTCCAGTAGAACAAATTTTCTCATTACAAAAATCAGGTAATAAATCTAATTAAACTTTAATTATATGTTTATATTTAACTCATTGCATTATTCTATGGATTCCTACTTTGAATTATTCTCAAATTTTTTTATCAAATTATTTTAAAATATTATCAAATGTTTTGGATTGTGAAAAATTAATTGGAATGACCCACTGAAAAAAAAAAAATTATAATATATTATTATGTTTTTTTCACACTTTTATGAATTTTTTATCTTTAAAAAAAATAACTCAATTAGATGTAGCAGAGCTTTTCGTTTGCTTTTGTCGCATTCATACTTAATTAATTTCATTTTCAATTCCTCTTTTTGCTTCAAATGAAATTATTTATTTTTATTGCTATTTCAAATATTTTCAGAATTTATTAAAGCCAAAAAAAAAAAAAAATCATACATTGATTAAAATAAACATTAAATTTAAATAATTTTCATCTTTTACAGTATAACTTTTACTGCTATTATTTTCATCCGATAGAAATTAATTATTATTATTATTATTTACACTAAATTTTTGTGTTTGTCGAATTTTCTGTAGAACGGCGAACAGATGTGGAAGCATTGCAAGCTGACGAACAAAATGCTTTCAATCAAAAAGCATCGAAACTTTCATTGCATCTAACAGAGCCAACATTGATCAGCAAAACAGAACGTCTCTATGCGGATGGTAATAATAGTGATATGATAGTGATATGATAAAATGATTATCTGTTAGATAATGCACGATGCACACTATCTATTGTAAACTATTTTTGCACTTTATCACTTTATTATATGTTAATAGAAATCATTGATACTTTAATGATATCAGTAATAGATAGAATGGATAGGCTTATCACTGATAACAAAAAAAAATTCAGTGAATTTGATTATTCATTTAAATTCTGTTAGATAATTTGCTGAAATTGAAATTAGCAAAGTATAGATGGTGGCAAATAATTGTACGTAAAGCCAAAATTACTTTTTCTTATGACTTACTTTATCAGATAATATCAAGTAAGTAAGTGTTATCTGTATTGAAATATTTAATACCTCCGACAGCTGTGATAGAAAATAGGAAATGAAATATTTAATACCTCCGACAGCTGTGATAGAAAATAGGAAATGAAAAATAAGTATAGCTGTGATAGAAAATAGGAAATGAAATATTTAATACCTCCGACAGCTGTGATAGAAAATAGGAAATGAAAAATAGGTATAGCTGTGATAGAAAATAGGAAATGAAATATTTAATACCTCCGACAGCTGTGATAGAAAATAGGAAATGAAAAATAGGTATAGCTGTGATAGAAAATAGGAAATGAAATATTTAATACCTCCGACAGCTGTGATAGAAAATAGGAAATGAAAAATAAGTATAGCTGTGATAGAAAATAGGAAATGAAATATTTAATACCTCCGACAATAGCGCTTCTATGCGGATATGTCTTCATTATTTTGCTTCTTTTACAAATTTTCATATATTATTTTACAGTTATCATTTTATTTTAACATTTTTTTTTTCTTTTTTTCATATAATATTTCATATTATTAACTAAAATAACTTCGCTTTGCGCTCATCTAATTCAACTAATCACCATTAATATTTAAAAATTACAAACATTTATTATTTTATTGCATGAAGAGAATTGCACATGAAATTGTTTGAGTGAAATTCTTGAAAAATGCAGGATCAGTGAAAACAAATCCGGTGAATATCAGAGAAGCTATTAATGATCCGGAAGAATTAGAATCAAATAATTTGGAACAATCCATAGTAGCAATAGATGCTACAACATTCAATGTCATTCCTACTACCGGAAATCTAATCGGATCAGCGGAAAGAAAAAATGATGATGATGACGATAGTACTACTTATTTCTCAACTTTAACAGATTTTGGTCCAAAAAAAGTAAACTCTTTCACAAATATTTACTGAAATGGCAAAAACGGAAAGATTTTTTTTTTTGATAACATTTTCAATACAAAATGAATTATTTAAAAGTTTTACGAAAATGAAAGCGTAAATTTACTGATTTCTTTTGCATCAATTGTTGAAATTTCAAATTAAAAAAAAAAAAAATTACAGTGCGGTTCAAATTTGTTAGCTAAGAATGATGGTGAAGGTGCGGCACGATATGGAATAGCGGAAGCAAGTCATTCTAAATTAAACTTTGAGGATGATGATTTAGATACCAATCAGTAAGTTTTGATAATTTAGATATCAATCAGTAAGTTTTGATAATTTAGATATCAGTCAGTAAGTTCTGATAATTTAGATATCAATCAGTAAGTTTTGATAATTTAGATATCAATCAGTAAGTTTTGATAATTTAGATATCAATCAGTAAGTTTTGATAATTTAGATATCAATCAGTAAGTTTTGATAATTTAGATATCAATCAGTAAGTTTTGATAATTTAGATATCAGTCAGTAAGTTTTGATAATTTAGATATCAATCAGTAAGTTTTGATAATTTAGATATCAGTCAGTAAGTTCTGATAATTTAGATATCAATCAGTAAGTTTTGATAATTTAGAAATCAATCAATAAGTTCTGATAATTTAGATATCATTCAGTAAGTTTATCTTACAAATTCCATTTTTCAATAGCTAAAATTTTAGCTATTGAAAGTTTAATTGTGATTTTAGAATAATTCCACAAATATTATGGAATTATTTTAACAGATTTTGGTCCAAAAAAGAAGTAAACTCTTTGGCAAATATTTACTGAAAGAGCAAAAACGGAAAGATTTTCTTAAATAATATTTTCAATATAAAATGATTTATTTAAAAGTTTTGTATTTTGAAATATTTTAAGATTCAAAATTAAATTTGCATTTCGCACAATATTACCAAACGGAATGTTATGGATTTGGGCTAATTACAATAATTATACTCGTTATTTCTTCCTAAATTTAATCAATGGATTACTACAATTTCAGGTATGAATTCATTACATACAGCATTTTAGTATTTCACTAATTAAACTTTAAAAAGAGATGAATAAAATTATTGAAGAAATAAAAATTTTTAGGTGCGTGGACGTAAGGAACCAAAAATTCTGATTTATAAATCAAATAAATTAAATGATGGACAATGGCATGATATTAATATGTTAAAAAAAGGACAAGAAATTCTTCTTAAGGTATCTCTCTTCCAGTATTCATTTAATTTTCCAAATTTCTATTTCAAATTTTCTTTTCATAATATCTATTCCATATTTTCTACCTTACAATAAATCCTTCCCCCCCCAAAAAAAAAAAATTGTTTATTCCATTTATCAAAATGTGCTCTTATTTATTAATTAAATATATGATAATAAATAAAAAGAATTGAATTATTCAAGGTTGATCGCAATCCGGCACAATACTTGAAAGATGTGTCAAATCCGAAACTGATCCGTAAACGAATGTACATAGGTGGAGTTATTTCAAAACATCGAAAACAGTTTAATTTAACAGTACCCTCATTTTCTGGATGCATTAGGTTTACTTTTTTTTTTTTTTGTTTCTTATAATTTTCTTAATTGAAAATGGAATTAACTTTATTTAGTATTCATAAAAGTTTTTTACTTTTTTAAACGTGTAATATCCAAAGTAAATTTCTTCTGAATTTGAATAATTTAAGATGAATTAAAAGGAGGAAACTTACTGATAAATTAATGATAGTAGTTGAACTTTGAACTTGAACTGTGAATAAATTAACTTACAATGAGTGTTAAATAATTTGACATAAAAGAGCATTTGTATACAATTTTCTTTCAGAAATTTTGAAGTAAATGACATTCAACAGGATCTATTCGGGAAAAGTCGTCACGTTGTGCCATGCGTCAATTCTAATTCTGCGTACGTTCACGAAGGCGGTTATATGACGTTTGGTACGTTACCTTCAAATATTACATTCATCAGCAATATAGAATGCTAGAAAAAGTATTAGATAAAGTCTTAAATTTTCACGTGACTGAGAACTATTTGTAAATTATTTACGTCCAACAGTTTGTTTACGTCTCATGATCACTTGTTGACGTTTCAATTGTTTACCATCTCATTATCTATTAGAAAATAAACAGACTGTTGTGTACTCTAAGCTTTAACTTTAAATTCTAATAAACATTATGCAAAATTGTAATAAATGAAAGTTATAAATTAAAGTTTAGAAATTTATTTATTACAGGATCATTAAAGTCTATTCGACAATTTGGAAATATTCAAATTTCGGTGCAATTTCGACCTGCTGTAAAAGATGGATTTATCTTCGGTTTAATGACAAACAAAGATCCAGAAAATGCACGAATTGCTGTTTACCTTAAAAATAGCTTGGTTATTTTTATTTATTTGTTTATTTTTTTTATTTATTCTATATTATAATGTTAAAATTATTAAAAACTACGAAAAAAAAAAAACTAAAAATTATTCAAAATCTTCGTATAATGTGTTAGTTCAACAAGAAATGTAAAATGATTTAAAACAATTATGGTTGTTTTCTTTTTTAGACTAATTATTCTTATTTTATTTTTATATATAATTTATAAATGAAAGTTTTTTTTTTTTTTTTTGCTTTAATTAGTATATCTTTAATTTGAAATATTATAATCCGGTTTTAATGATTCCGGCTTCTGGAATAACTATATATTTCAGGTGACATTTGAACTGATCTACAACAATGAACATCATGAACTAAAGCATATTTTTAAAAAAGATTTATGTGATGGTAGTTGGCACAATGTTACTCTTTCTATATCACATTCAAATATAATTGTTATCACTGTTGATGGAGTATGTTCTCGAATTTTTTATGTTAATTATTTACAAAAGTAATATAATGTAATTTTACTTTTAAAAATTTTAGAAAAAATCTTAGATTGAAAAATTAATTTTTGAGATGAATTAAACAGATAGCAATAAATTTAACAATTTAACAATAATAAATTTCAGCATCGAAAACGTTTACAGTTAAAGATGAGTTCAGAATTGATAGAATTTTTCCGAAATTTGCCAATTTATATTGGTGGTGTAACTGGTTTGTTCTCATCTATTACTTAATCTCATACATAATTCATTTTTATTAGTGAAAAAGAAAAAATTATCTTTAATTTTTCCAATCAGAATTGATTTTTTTTTTTTTTTTGCAATTAATATACTGATATCTTATTGTTGTAGCATTTTTGCTCTTTAAATAATATCTTACTGTTACAGCATCATCAACTTCTAAAATTGGTGTACTATCATTGATTGGTTGCTATCGTGATCTCCAATTTTACGGAAAAGTAATCGCTTTCAAAGATGCCAAAAAGTTGAATAAAGTGCTACCTGATGGTTGTCCATTTTTAAATTAAATAATTGTCTTTTCATATTTTCAAATGTCATTTGAAATTTATTCGATAATATTATGATCAACAAATATGGTATATAGTAAAATGGTAAAAAAAAACTAAGACTTCTCACCGAAAATAGCTATTAGTAGTATAAATTTTTATCAATTTAAATTAATAAAAAAAAAAAAATTGGATCAAATCGTTTCAATCATTTTTATATTTTCATTTTATTTATCCAATCGAAATAGTTTCCTCTCATTCAACTTTTTGTCGTTTTATTCATTTATTATTCTTTTTTTTCCCTAATTCACTGCCATATTTATTCTTACTTTGATATTATATTTTTTTTTTTTTTAAAAATGATATGCATAAGAATTTAATGAATAATATTTTAAATATTTTTTTTAATACAATAGGAAAAAGGAAGAAATGTGTAAAAAAATTTGCGTTTACATTTTATTAAAATTACAGCTAATATATTGAAACTTTACAATTTATAATTGACTATTGTAAATGACTATTACACTTTAAATACTCTTCGATGAACGTACATAATTTAAATAATTTTTAAAACAGAACAAAATAAACATAAACAAATTTAAAAAATAAAGTGTAACTATGATCTTCAAATTTATAATTACTAGCAAAGAAGAAAAAAAAATTATTAATCAAAATTGGAAGCAATAATTTGTACTTCATTTTATGAAATATATCATATAATATTTTAATTTAAAAAAAAAAGAAAAAAAAACATTCGAAAAAAATAAAAAAAGAAAATCATTAAATTAAAATAATAATTTTTTTTTTTGTTTAGAAAAAAGATGATAATCTTTGTAGATCAATATTACCACCACAAAATATGACACCTATATTTTTTAGATTTTGATCAATTAATTCATTCTTATATTTGATTAATGCCGCCAGTGAAACTGCGCCTGTAGGCTCGATTGCTTGCTTAAATTTATTTTAAATTTTATTCATATTTCATTTTACGAAACATTTGATTAATTTTCACTAAAACTGAAAAAAATGTCAATAAAAATAAGGAAGAAATTTATGAATATAAGAAAAAAATGTCAATAAAAATAAGGAAGAAATTTATGAATATAAGAAAAAAAAAAAATACCTTCATTCTACTATAAATTAATTTCATTGCTTGAATAATTTCATCATCATTCTAAAAAAAAAGTCTCATAAAATAATTTCATTCTTTTTTAAAATAATTCTTATTTCAAAAAAAGAAAAAAAAAAACTTATTACTCTACTCTATCATTTTATAAAATATTTAAAACAAATAATTTAGTGAATAGTAATATCAAAAATTTAGAATGCATGTGCCTGCTATAAATTAATAATAATAATAATAATAATAATAAATTAATAATAATAATAATAATAATAATAATAATAATGATAATAATAATAATAATAGTAATAATAATAGTAATAATAATAATAATAATAATAATAATAATAATAATAATAATAATAATAATAATAATAATAATAATAATAATAATAATAATAATAATAATAATAATAATAATAATAATAATAATAATAATAATAATAATAATAACAACAATGATAATGATAATGATAATGGTAATGATAATAATAATGGTAATGATAATGATAATGGTAATGATAATGATAATGATAATAATAATAATAATAATAATAGTAATAAATAACAATAATAATATCATTATTATCAATGAAATCTCAAAAAACAAAAATGGTAAACTTTTTATGAAATTTAAAATGATGACAGTGATTCTAAGTTAGAAAAGAAAATATTTAAATTAAATTTATTAGATTTAAAGAGAATTTTTTTTGGATTTAAATTAATTTTATAAATAAATGAAAACAATGAAAATGATTCTAAATTAACTCTGTAAATGAAAACTTACCACAGTGAGAACTTTCCTTTCACATTTTTCAAAAATAGGTGGGAAGCATTTTTTACCAATCCGTAAAACTCGAATTCCATCCGCAATTGTTTTTACGGGACCTGCATCCGGATCCCATGATCTTACACTGGAATCTAATGAATGCTGCAAGTTTTTTCCTTCCGGTTCCACACAGTATACTAAAATCGTAATCAAAATTACGAATGAAAAAGTGATAAAAGTATGATAACAAAGATATGAGAAAAAAAAATTTAAACCTTTGATAGTTGGTTTAATTTTTTTAGCAGCTATAACTATACCGGAACATAAACCACCACCACCAACTGCTACTAATAAAGCATCTAAATCAGGAATTTGCTCCAGAAATTCTATCGCTATTGTTCCCTGAAATAATTATTAAAGAATTTTAAAAGTATAAAATAAATTAGTACCATCAAAGATTCTTAAAAATTTAAGTGATAAGATAAAACATAACATTTTATTATTATCACTAAAATTTGATTTTATCTAGTTAGTGAGAAAAGATTAAAATATAAAATTTGACTGATTGAATGGATAGCTTACTTTTATGAAGTACAAAAATTTGTAATATATAAAATTTTTTATTATAAAATTTTTCCTACCTATTATTATTTCCAATGTTTTATTTCTTCAACCAATGAAGATTTAAAAAAAAAAAAAAAAATGTTAGGCTGTTAAAAATAAAATATTCATAAAAAGTTTCCTCATTTATTTAATAAAATGATTGATGACCTGTCCAGCCATCACTCTGTAATCATCAAACGGATCAACCATTTCAGTATGCAATCCGGTATCACGAAGATTGTTGCATACCATTTCTCTTAATTATCATGCAAATAAACAATCGAAAGCAAAATTTAATTCACAATAAAAGTAATTTTAATTTTTTAAATTTCCTAAAAGATAATACTCATTGCGCCGCCATTTTTTTTTCTTTTTTTCAGTGATAATTCAATAATTCGATATGCAAATTTTTTTCTTATCACTTTCAATAATCCTAAATGATGTGATAATAAGAAATTTAGTATTTCACATATTCCCACTGTCACTCTTTGCGCTATTTTAGCGTACATTTGCGCTTACTCTATTTTATCAAATTTTAACAATTATAAATTAATTTTTTTTTCAATTGCTAATTTTAGAAAATATATAATTTATAACCTATCTTTTGGTTCACATAGTACAACATTTGCTCCATAATCTTTCATAGCATTAAGTTTTGATATTGGTGCATTATTTGGTGCTACAACTACACACGGAATATTATGAATTTTAGCTGCCCAAGCTAATGCTTGCCCAAAATTACCACTGCTATGAGTAATCTAAAAGAAGAAATTTGAAAAAATTTCTATCGAGAAATCTTGAATTTAAGATAAAAGTTAAAAAAAAAAAAGTATGAGTAAATGTGCAAGTTTTTCCTTTATTAAGAAACTTGTCATCATTTGCAATAATAGTAAATTAATGTTTTTAAAAAAAATAAAAATAATAAACAAACCACAGATGAGGATTTATTTTCCGGATCACTGACAATAATCTTTATCTGAAATAAAAGAAATATGAGAAGAAAAAAATCCGGTTTCCGAGTTTGCAATAAACACTTGAATACAGTAGTAATACTATCAAAAAATTACTCTACAAAATATAAAATTTAAAAATTCGAAAAGTACTATTTATCACTTATTTGTAGGAGCTATAAGCAAACTTTGGAAGAAGGAAATTATCAAATAATCTTATCAACAAAATCATATATTTCAAAGCTGACAATAATTAAGACCTATTACTTTATTCCTCTTTTATCTTATCACTATGGTAGATAGATAGATAATGATAGATAGATAGATAATGAAATAATGAAATAATGAAAATAGAAAAGAAATCTTATAAATTTGTGCTAATTAAAAAAAAAGCAAATATGAATTAAACTCTATAAAATAATCCATTTTTTTTTCATTTTTTCATATCTTATCATACTTTAACAGTTATCAATTACTTCCATCGCATTCCATTAACTATCAAAAGTGAAATTTTGTTAAATTTTAAGTATTACTTTGAAATAACTTATCACTAAAATTAAAATTGTATAATTATTCTGATTGATAAGAAAAGTACAGCATTCAATGCTCCACGTGCTTTGAATGAACCAGTTTTCTGGAGATGTTCACATTTGAAATAAACTTTCATGTCACATAAGCTATCAATGTAACTGGATGTCATCACTGGTGTCACATGGATGACATTCTTGATACGATCAGCAGCAGAATAGATATCTTCAAATGAAAACATTTCCCTGTAAAATACTTTTTTATTCTTTTAATTATTATTAATGAAATTAAATAAATTAATTATGAAATGAATGAATGAGTTAAAATTTTCAACTCTGTCATATTAATATATTTATTTTCTTTAACCAAAAATTTCAATAAAAAAATGCTCGGCAAAAATTTCATACATTTTATTATGCAACAGATAAGCTCTTTATATGCAACAATAATGAATTAAATATAAGTAAGGGATATTTTCAAAAATGAATTAAAAAAAAAAAACAATTTATAATCTTAAAATTGTTTGTTATCATCAACAATAAACAGATAAGTTGGTAAATTCATGATGGTATTAAACTATTTTATGATTATTAAATGATATCAATGAAATTTTTTTTTTATTAAATTTCAAAATTATTCATACAAATACAGATTGTACAGGTTGATATAAATTAGTAAATAAAACAACCATTGTCACAGAAATTAAATTATTTAATATTAGGATGGCAATATTATCACAATTTATTTCTTATTTACTATCATTTATTATTTACCATTTCATTTCAACAATTAAAGAAAAGTCTAACAAATTATAGGATTCTAATTAGCTGAAACAATTCATTAATTCGTTCTTTCCTGAAATACCATTCTTTATTTTCTGTAATTAATTATCTAATTGATTCATTTTTTTTTTTTTAATTGTTAAAATGATGAGAAGAAGTAATATAATAAATGAAAAATATTTATCATTGAGCAATTAATATTATAATGAGATTAATTAATATAAAATATTACTAAATGATATGTAAATTAAGAATAACAATTTCTTTTTTTTTTTTTTTAAAAAAACAATAGCAAAAGAAAAGAAAAGAAAAGAAAAGGAGAATTTGAGAATTGAAATATTGCACATTTATACATTAATGAATTCATTTAACAAAATTACTTGCGCAATTGTCGTTAAAAAGAAAACGCATAAATTTAAATTTCAACAATTGACAGTAATTCTAATACTTTTATATTTCTTTTTCAATAAGCATTAAATAATATAGTAAAGACATATCATCCAACTATTAATGTATTAAAAAAATATTAATTCGATTTCTATTTTTTTTTTCAATTTTTAAATTTTATTTGAAAAGCATAGAACATTTGAACAAATGGCAATATTGATGCAATTAATATTTAATATTTTTATTTTTTGAATTTTTATATCAAAAAAAACAAAAAGAAAAGTTATTTTTGTTAATTTATTTTAATTTTAACTTATTTGTTAACCATTTTTTAATATTACATCCATTAGGTAATTACAGAATTAGCTACTTTAATGATATCATCATTATCATCCGTAATACTTTTCCTTCGATTTAAACGTCGACGACGTGCTAAAGCGGATTCAATAACAGGTCGTAACGGAACTGACGTAGTTGTACACGTTAATGCACGATATGTTTTGTCTAATGCATCCTTTAAGGAAAGACAACAATTAGGTTATCAAATTATGTATTAAAAAGAAATATTCAATTCAAATCTATTTTTGTGTTAAAAATTTAGCATAAAACTTATAATTGCATTTTACAGGAAAAAAAAGAAAAGAAAAGAAATCGTTTTGAAATGTTTAGCATATTTTGATTTATTAGACTCTAATTTACAGACCTACAGGTTTAGATTTAACTTGCGACTCTCTAATTTATGATTTATTAGACTCTAATTTGCAGAGTTACGGATTTAGATTCTAATTTGCGATTTATTAAACTCTAATTTACGGTTTATCAGACTCTAATTTCTGATTTAACAGACTCTAATTTACGATTTATTAGACTCTAACTTGCGATTATCTAATTTACGATTTATTAGACTCTAATTTGAAGAGTTACGGATTTAGATTCTAATTTGCGATTTATTAAACTCTAATTTACGGTTTATCAGACTCTAATTTCTGATTTAACAGACTCTAATTTACGATTTATTAGACTCTAACTTGCGATTATCTAATTTACGATTTATTAGACTCTAACTTGCGATTATCTAATTTACGATTTATTAGACTCTAACTTGCGATTATCTAATTTACGATTTATTAGACTCTAACTTGCGATTATCTAATTTACGATTTATTAGACTCTAATTTGCAGAGTTACGGATTTAAACTCTAATTTACGATTTATTAGACTCTAATTTGCAGATTTATAAGATTCTAATTTAATTTACATCTGTTATATCGCTTTTTTTGAAATTAAAAAAAAAACTGACCATTACTTTGAATGGATCATTGAAAAAATTTAAACGTATTGTTGGTAGTGAATTTAAATGTACAATCCATGGATGAATAAGAATTTGTTTAGCTGAAAGACGTTTAGATGGATCAGCATGTAAAAGCTGTCGAATAAGATCTTTTGCTTGTTCTGAAATATTTATCCATGCTTGACCATTCAATGAATATTTCCCTTCACCGACACGTTTCAGAATTTTTTGTGGTGAGTCATTTTCACTTGTTGCAAATGGTGTTTCACTAAAAAATTAAAATATTTTAATTTTAAAATAAATACTTTCTTTTTTCTTTCTTCCACTTTTTCATTCCAATTTATAAATTATAAATGATTAATAATTAAAGAATTGTTACAAATTTATTTTTTTAAATAAAATTTTCAATTTTAAATTCTTTAATAAATAACTAATTTGTTATTAAAACTATAGCATAATAATGAAATATTTTTAAGAATATCAAATGTAAAATGTTGACAAATTGACAAATACGATTACTTCGTCATTTTGTTTTTAAATTAAACAAATAACTGATAATTGAAATAATCAGTGGAAAATTTTTTTTATAAAGTAATTAAATATATCAAATATATTTCTCACCCACTAAGCATAGTAAAAAGTAATACTCCAAGTGACCAAACATCACAATTCATATCATATCCTTGCTTTCTTAAAATTTCCGGTGCAACAAATTGTGCTGTATAACATGGTGTCATCAGTAAACCATTTTCAGCACGTAACTGTTTCGCAAATCCGAAATCAATTATCCTGATAGAATCCGGATCAGCTGTCTTCGATGCATACATTATATTTGATGGTTTTAGATCACGATGAACTACCTAAAACAAGCATAACAAACATAATCATCTCTAAATTTGGGAATTTCTTTTTTTTTTTTTTTCTAAAAATTTTATTATATATTTTTAAAATTAAAAGAAAAAATACCAAAATTAAAAAGTAAATTCTTAGCTAATAAACAAAATTGTATAATAATAAACAAAAGAAAAAAACAAACAAACAAACAAACAAACATAATTATCTCTGAAAAAAAAAAAAAAAGAAATTGCTTTTTTTTTTCTAAAAATTTTTATCATATCTTTTTAAAATTAAAAAAAAAAAATATCAAAATTAAAAAGACAATTAATTAAATTTAATAAATTTATATAAAAAAAAGGTTTTTTTTTTCAAATCTTTTTTATGCAAATAAAACAAACCTGATTTGAATGTAAATAACTGATAGCATTAGCAAGTCTTAGCATTATAGCAGCAGCTTCTCTCTCCGAGAAATGCTTTAGCATCATAATTCTGCTTAATAATTCACCACCCTTACATAACTCTTCGATTAAATAAACATTTATACTATCCTCGTAAACAGCAAACAATTTGACAATATTTGGATGATGTGAGTAACGTTTTAATATGTCCACTTCTTCTGCTGCATCTCGCCTGCTTTTGTCAATTATCCAAAAAAGAAAAACAAAAAACAAAACAAAAACAAAAAAAACAAAACAAATTTTTGCTTTGAAGTTTTTTTGCTTTAAAAAAAAAAATGCAAAGAAGGTTTTTTCCTTTTCTTATACTCTTAATTTTATCTTATAATATAATTAGATTGATTGATATTAGTGCTAGTTTTTCTTTTTCTTTTTTTTATTTTTAAATTATTTAAATATAATTTTGATATGATGAATTGTTATATTTCATATATTATCGTAAAAGTTTTTTTTTTTTTTCACTTTTACTTTTATTTAATAATTTAGCTTGACTGATATTAAGTGCTAAAAAGATTATGAATATATTTCAATAGTTATTACATTTTCTTTTTTTTTATTTCGTTAATTTTTAAATTATTTAAATATGATTTTGATATGATTAAATAATTTATCTCATATATTATCATAAATTAATAGTAATAGTAGTTTTTTTCTTGTGAAATTTACTTACATTTTAGTTTTATACCAAACATAATTTCACTTTTTTTTTTTTTTTTACAATAGCAATAAATTATTGCATAAAAGTTAAAATTAAATTTAATATAAATTTCAAAATGAGTGAGCATAAATTTAAAATTAAAATATATGTTGAAGATATACCTTTACAGCAAATTCAGCACCTGATTTCTTATGCACACATCTCTTACAAATCGAAAATGAGCCAATTCCAAGATCCTCAAAAATGTTTGATTATTTCAATTTGTTAATTTCACTAACTACTTCTAGGCTAATTTCAAATACTTTATTTCATTCTTTAGCAATTTTCAAACATTTATCAGAATTATTTATGAATTAATAAAGTTAGGAAAAAGAATTAACAAATGAAATTAATTGCTTTGAATTTGAATTAATAACAAAATTTGCAAAATTTTTTGCATTTCAAAATTACTTTAATTAAATTTGTTTCCAATTTTAAAAGTTATTTATTAACTTCATTAAAGTTGTATTCATCGAAAATGTATGCTTTCTCGGCTTCCTGAAGATGTGAACTGATAACATTGATTGATAAACTAGGCTTATCATTAGTGAGAATAGATGGAGCAACATAACTAAAACCACGAAATAATTCATGAGCTGTTGCAGATGCTGGTAAAGCAGGTGAATCTGCAAATTAAAATTTTAAATTTTAATAAAAAAAAAAATTTTTTTTAAATTTGAATTTCAAACAAAATAAATAAATAAGAAAAAATAATTTATATTAAATACATTGGACAATAATTAGATGCTTGAAAAAGTTAAACAATATGTTTGTTTAATTATAAAATATATATATAAAAAAAAAAATGCCTAAAAAATAAATCTTTTGATTAGTCAAAAATTTTGAATTTAAAAAAAAAAATGTGATTAATTATGATTCTTACAAATCTAAAAATTATATCCTAGCACATTTAAAAAAAAAAAAAATTTTTTAAATCTATTAATCAACAATTAATCATAAGAAAGTTAAAAATTATATTCTAACACATTGAAAAAAATAAAGAATCTTAAAATTATTTGATTAACAATTAGTCATCATAGATTTAAAAAAATTATATCCTAATACATTTAAAAAAAAAATTTTTAAATCTATTAATCAACAATTAGTCATGACAAATTTAAGAATTATATCTTAACATATTTAAAAAAAAGAATTTTAAAATCTATTAATCAACAATTAGTCATAACAAATTTAAAAATGTATCTTAACATATCTAAAAAAAAAAAAGAATCTTAAAATTGATTAGTCAAAAATTAGTCATATAAAATTATACCTAAAATTTTTTAATTTATACTTAAAAAAAAACATTTAAAAATTATATATATATAAAAACTTATACTTCCAATAAATATACTTATAGTAAACTAACCATGCGGTGTTTTCTTTGTGAATTCTGAATCAAAACAACGTGTATGATTACTTGGAGTACACAATGGTTTAAATGGTGGTTGAACTTCTCGTCGATATAATTTTTCCCAATTAATTGTACCAAAAAATGGATGTAATTTAATTGATTTTACATCATCATTTGAACAACCTAAACGATTTGTCGGATTGCGCTTAAAAAGCGCTCGTAGTAATTGTTGCGCTTCAACTGATAATGATTGTGGCATTGTTAATTTTGCTCTATAATTTTTATTATTTTTAAAAAAGAATAGAAAAAAAAGAATTAATTGTACTATTTTAGATAATTAATAATAGAATTAATTTAATAATAGAATTTAACATTTCAAATAATTAATGATAGAATTAATTACATTTTGTTTAATAGATTAAAATTTGTCCTTTTGAAATTTTAATACTTTTTGCAAATATCTATTTGTTGAAATAAATTTTACCTTAAAATCATTGACATTGTTTCGCGACGATTGCTACCATGAAATGGTAGATCACCAGTTAACATTTCATACTAAAGAAAAAAAAAAAAAAAATGAAAATAATTTTATTTGAATAAATATATCTTATTTAAAACAAAATTATCAATAAATACTAATTTATACAAACTTTTCTATTTGTTTAAGTAAACTTTTGATATGTTAAAATCAAATTTTACATTTTGTAAATTTTTCAAATTTAATATTCCAATAAAAATTGCAAAACTTTCAGATATAAAAATTTTCAAATATATCATTACCATAAGAACACCAAAACTCCACCAATCGGCAGCAACCGTATGTCCACGTCGATTGACCACCTCTGGTGCCATATATTCTACGGTACCACAAAAACTATACGTTTTTCCATTTTTTTCAACCGATTCTTTTGATAAACCAAAATCCGTCAAATTAATATGTCCATCGGCGTCTAATAAAACACTAAAAATATATGATAAATTATAAATTTGGGAAAAAAAGAAAATTCAAAAATTAGATATTGAAAAAGAAATGTCCTAAATTGTTCGATAAAATACTTCGAGAATAATTCGAGAACGACTTTTACTAGTAAATGAATTTTTCACAGGTGTACAACAAGTACGATTCATAAAAAATGCCATAAAATGATAAATTTGATAGATATGCTATATCTGTTGTATACCTGCTCTCATTAGCAATTATCATACCTGAATTATCTGAACAAAGAACAAAATTATAGTTTCATTCAAAGTAGTACAAAATTTCTAATTTCAAAATAGTATTAATCAAAAATTAAGAATGAATAGAGTGAAAGTTGAATAACAAAAATGAAATATTAGAATTTATTATAAAATAATGCAAAAAATGTTTCACATTAAATAAAGAGCATAAATTGAATTCATGCATTTAAAATAATTGAAATTTTTTAAAACTAAAAAAAAATTAACTTATTAACTTACTTTTCCGGTTTTAAATCTCTGTATGCGATACCTAACGAATGCAAATGTCCAAGAGCTAATGCAATCTCTGCTAGATAAAATTTGACATCATCTTCGGTAAACATAATCTAAACAATGAATTAATTCCCTTTTATCATCAATAAAGCCGGAAAAGATGGAAAATTCGTTCGATGAAATGAAAAAAAGTTCACAGAGTAAAATAAATTGCAATGAGAAAATAGCAAAACAAAAAGTTTATAAATAATTGAAAGAGAGAGAGAGAGAGAGAGGGAGAGAGGGAGAGAGGGAGAGAGAGAGAAATGTTTTTTTTTTGTAAATAAAATCAGAATGTTGGCCACAGCACTGATATGATAATATTACGATGATAGCAGCACTGATATGATAATAACATTACTAAATCTTCAATTTTAACATGCCATTCAATTGATGCATCATTTAAAGTAATTTACTAATATTTTGACAATTTTTAAAATTAATAAGAATGAAAATCAACCTTTTAATTCAGTGAAGCAAAAAGTTTTACATTTGTGTTTAAAATTTTGAAAATTAAAAAAGTAGAAATGATAAAAAGAAAATACTAACTTCTTTGGAAAGACGATTGAAAAGATCTCCGCCAGGTAGAAAGTCAAGAATTAGATATAATTTTCCTTCGGTTTGAAATGCTGCAATTTAAAAAAAAAAAAAAAGAAAAAGCAAATTTAATCAATCTTATTTATGAAAAATAATTTAATCAAAGATTAAAACCAACAGTTATTAGTCCGATACTGAAATTTTTTTTTCTTTTTTTTTTTTTAATATCGCACTAATGACTTTGGGAAAATACCATCAGAGTAATTTTATGATAATTTAATTTATTATTATTTATTTTTTTTTTTTACCATAATGAAGTCGAACAATAAATGGATGACAAAATCGAGCTAAAATATCTCGTTCCATTTTTGTACGATATCGATCACGAACTATAATAAATTTTATTTAAAAATAATTAGAAATTTTCTGAAACTATATAATTGTTTATTTTTATTGTTTATTTTTTTAAATTGTTTATTTATTTTTTTTTTATTCATTTTAATATATTCTATTTATGCTAAATGAAATTCATCAAATTTCTCATTATTAATTGTATATTCTTAGTAAAATATATAATTGTTTATTTTTTTATTCATTTTAATATATTCTATTTATGCTAATGAAATTCATCAAATTTCTCACTATTAATTGTATATTCTTAGTAAAAAAAATATATATATATATATATAAAAGAAAAGAAATACCTTTTAGAGTAGCTTTTTTTAAAATTTTCATAGCAAATAATTGTCCAGTATCACGTCCATGTATTTTTTTTACAAGTAATACTTTACCAAATGAACCCTTAAAGTACAAAGAAATTTCAATGCCAATTGTCAAACTGTTTCATCCTACTAATCTTGCTGTTAAATTAAAACAAACAAACAAACAAATGTTTATCTGTCAACAAAGAACGATGTGTCCTTTCCATAGTGATTTCAAGCTATGATTAATTTTATATGATCATTATTGATCGAATAGTGATCAAGTACGAGAGTCATTAAATGACAACAAAGAAGTAAGTAATTTTTTTTTTCATCAAAAATGACAACAACAAAAACAAAAAAAAAGTAAATAATTATTTGAGGTATCTTAAATGATAAACAATAAAAAATTAATTATCTGTAAATTTTTACCTTATAAAAAAATTACAGACTTACTTGTCCAATCATAGATAATAATTCGAATTGTGATGGATCTGCTTTTTCACCCTCTTTTGCAATTTCAGTAATTTCAATTTCGGATGTCATAGCTTTTGCTTTTGTTGTAGCGTTGCTAACAGTTGCAGTATCGATTGCTGTTGACAATGACACATCTGAATCGTTCTCTGATGAATAATGCTGCAAAATTTTATTTGATAAAACATTTTGCAGCTAATATTATATTTGAGCTAAAAATTACTTTATTTTACTTTACTTTACTTTACTTTACAGCTCATTAAATAATGCAATAATTGATAAGTAAAATTAATGAGTAAGTACTATAGAGTAATTAAATTAAATTAAATCATTCAGCCAATATTAATTTAATTTAAATTCTATTAAACAAATAAAAGATGCAAAATGATAAAAATTGTAATTTTTCAATCATATAATTCAACTAATTTGCAAATATTTGAATAAACTATTGGAATTTATTTAATGATGTCATAATTATTTATTTAAATAGAAATTAAATGAATGCGACATGTATGTGACATTTTCTATTCATCAAATTATATTGTATAGAAATGTGCATTGATTTTAGTTTTTCAAATCAAAAATCAAAATCATAGCATTTGATTAAATTACAAAATATCAAATGTTAATTAATTAGTATTAGTATATTTTAACATCATTTAATACTTATATCATATCTTATCATATCATATCACCTAGCAAGTATCCTAGTGATTCGACAATAGAAAGAATCGAAAATATAGTAATCAGTTCAATAACTCATCTATTATGGGTTTTAGATCATTATGAATATATGGAAAATTATTTATGGGTTTTAGGTCACTAAAAAAATTATAGCACTTTTATCGTTTAAACAAAATTACTAGGATACATATGTTTCAACATTGCTTAATACCTCTATCAGATAAACATTTAAAGCGACAGATATAGTAAACAAATTTTGTAAAAAAAAAAAGAATAGCAAAAATGAATATATGAAGAAAATCATTTCTGTTATTTTAAATTAGAAAGGAAAAAATATTAAATTTAGTAAAGGAAATGCTAACTTAGACAAAATATGATAAAATTCCTGAAAATATTACGTCAATTATTTTTATAGTAACGTGAAAAGCAACGTGTTAAAATATTTTCCATAACAAATTCAAATAAATAAAAAATATTAATTTAATGTTTACAAAAATAAATATAATGTAAAAAAGGTACGTCAATTATTTTGTAGCAACGTGAAAAGCAACGTGTTAAAATGTTTTCCATAACAAATTCAAATAAATAAAAAATATTAATTTAAATGTTTACAAAAATAAATATAATGTAAAAAAGGTACGTCAATTATTTTTATAGCAACGTGAAAAGCAACGTGTTAAAATATTTTCCATAACAAATTCAAATAAATAAAAAATATTAATTTAATGTTTACAAAAATAAATATAATGTAAAAAAGGGTTAGAAATAATTTCTTTTGTTAAAAAAAATTTTAACTTACATCATCAGTTTTGTTTGTATTACAAAGCAGATTGTTGTTATCCCATGGAATATCACATTGTGGTGCTAATGGCATTTCCCAATATAATTAACTTTTTTTTCTTTTTTTTTTCTCCTTCAAAATTCGTTTTCAATCCTACAAATTTGCTCAAAATTGAATTTAACACTGATAAAAGGTTAATTTTGAGAGAGAGAGAGAGAGAGAGAGAAAAAGAAAAAATTGAACAAATAAAAAGAGGAAATGAAGAAGCTAAACAGATGGTATAAATTTGTGATAACAAAATGAAAGTAAAATTTTATCAAATAATACCAATCAATTGATAGAATAATTGAAATTATTTGCAGAAAAATATTTTTTCATAATATTCAAAATTTGTGTAATTTAAAAAAAAAATGTAATTTTTATAAATTTGTAAAATAAAAATTCTTTCACATATATGAAATTCATTTCATAATAAATGTTTCAAAAATTTTTAAAAATATTCTTCTAAATGAATTTTGTTTTTCTTTATGCAAATTATTTAATTACAAAGATTTAATTACAAAAGAAAAAAAAAACAATGATTTCAATATGTGTGAAATCATAAAATTTTTGTTTTATTTCGAAAAAAAAAACTACAAACTGATTTTGTTTAACACAAATTCAGAATAATCGATAATAATTAAAATAATCGATAATCATTTTAAGAATTTTCGAGGAAAAAAATACGAAAGTATATAGTAATGATTTTATTTGATTTTGTGCATTTTAAAGTGATAACTGTTGGGAATATTTGAGTTAATCACTTATGTGCAGAAGTGAGTCATCCTGAGGGTAGCTTATTTTGGGTGAGTCATCCTGAGGGTAGCTTATTTTGGGTGAGTCATCCTGAGAATAGCTTATTTTGGGTGAGTTATCCTGAGGGTAGCTTATTTTGGGTGAGTCATCCTGAGAATAGCTTATTTTGGGTGAGTCAATCTGAGAATAGCTTATTTTGGGTGAGTCAAACTGAGGGTAGCTTATTTTGGGTGAGTCAACTGAGGGTAGCTTATTTTGGGTGAGTTATCCTGAGAATAGCTTATTTTGGGTGAGTCATCCTGAGGGTAGCTTATTTTGGGTGAGTTATCCTGAGAATAGCTTATTTTGGGTGAGTCATCCTGAGGGTAGCTTATTTTGAGTGAGTTATCCTGAGAATAGCTTATTTTGGGTGAGTCATCCTGAGAATAGCTTATTTTGGGTGGGTCATCCTGAGAATAGCTTATTTTAGGTGGGTCATCCTGAGAATAGCTTATTTTGGGTGGGTCATCCTGAGGGTAGCTTATTTTAATTTTGATTCCAATTTTCATCTCAACACAATTACACTCTTGAAAAGAAAAAAATTACTTGCGGTAAGTACTTGTGAGATAATAATTTAGCATACAATTAAGCATAACTTTTGATCCTTTCATTAAAGTAAATAGTAAATAAAGAAAAGAAATGTAAACAATGGATAACTTAAAGAATTCAAATAAGTCTTAGCATCAATATAAAACATTATAAAAAAAAAAAAATTTCAAATCCCTAATGTTAGCTAAAAGTAAATGCAAATATAACATATAATTTTCTAAAATCAATAATGTTATGTCAAATCAGTTACTAACTATTAGAGTAAATATTGTTTACGAAAAATACAATTAAGCATATTGATTTTACTTTTTTATAAATGCGAAGTAACATTTGTAAAGTTGTTTGATCATACTATTTCATACGAACTAGAAATCAAATAGCAAGCAAAATTTACCCAATCTTTTCATAAGTAAACAATTAAAATGTGTAAGTTTTCAAATTTGCAAGAAGGAAAAAAAAAAAAAACCGGAAATATTTATTAGCTGACAGCTACAACAGTCAACAATTCTACCGGAAATTTATTTTTTGTAACACAATAAAACTGATTCATTTAATATACTTTTTATAAAAAAGGAATATTAGTGTCAAAGGAAAAGAAACTTTAATAATGTAAATTTTTTCAGGAAATATTAGTGAAAGATGTAAAGATTTTGGTATTCAAATTAATGCAAATTTTAAATAAATAAAATAGAAATCAAAGACTATTCTTATTTCTTTGCAGAAGCTTATTGCTTTTTTAAAATTCAAATGAGAATTTAAAAGAATTCATTTAGTTTATTGGAAATTCTCTTTAACTCTAAATCAACCACTAAGATGGAATCATGGTGAAATTAAATCTCATCAAAATTAAATTCATGAAATTAAATTGTGTGTGTGTGTTTTTTTTTTTGCATTATTTTAACAGTAAATTAATTTAAGTGTATAAAATGTTATCATATCAATAAAATACTATCAAATTATCAAAGAGGAAATTAAGTATCATATAAAGGAAAGAAATATACTTAAAATAAATTGTGGATGAAGAATTTTAATTATTTTTGTAATAAAAAAACAAAATAAAATTGATAATATGCAAATAAAATGATGAATGTTTTCATTGATTCATAAAATTATAGTTTAGTAAATATTTTCACCTTACAATCTTAGCTATCTCAATTATAGTTGAAATAATTTATCTGCTAAGTACTATTTCAATTTCACATTTAATTATACAACACTTAAATAAACAATGTAAAACATTAACTCATTCTAGGGGCTAACTTTTTCATTGCTGAATGAAATATTTGAAATATTTAAAAGTTAAAATGAAATTTAACAAATTGTAAAATAAAGTTTAGAAGAAAAGCCGTCATTTTGCAGTTTCTTCAGGGTCAGATACCGTTTCTGAGACATGAAATAGTCGAGAATTTTTTAATCTTTCAACAATTTTTAATTAACTTTCTGTATTTATATAATGAATCAATCCTTAGAATATGCTGGAAGAGTTTAATTGTTAAATTTTAATTAGTTAATTAATCAAACAGAATGTTCTGAAACATATTGAATCGGTAAAATGAGGTCAGAATTTTTATCAAACAATATTTCTTAGAATGTTTAAAATTGCAATGAAATTTTAAAAGGTTAAAATTTGGACGAGCATAAATGATAATTGGATAGACTAAATCTACTCTAAAGGATACGAAAGATTGGTCAACGATAATTTATTAGTTAAAAATATTTAATCAATTAAGTTTTTTCAGTTCATTTCCAATTTTAAGTTACTACTATCATTTTATATGGTTTAATGGAAAATTGAAGTTTAATGAAACGAAATAAAACTTTGAGTGAGAGAAGGATGAATCCCTGAGGCATTGTAATATCAGAATTGCTATTTCAAATTAAATATTTCAAATTCACAAAAGTACCGCAATAAAAATACGCTTATTAGTAATGAAATAAGGTAGAAATAACCGATTTTGATGTAAAATATTAATAATAAAACGTGAATTAATTGTAGTCTGTGAAAAAAACATTTCATTTAGCGCACTAAATTATTCAATTTTAGCCTAGTTTTAGGGTCTAATTTTAGCCTAGTTCTAGTTTTAGCCTGATAATTTTTTAGTCTAATTAATACTTCCAAAGGAATATATTTGCCCTCTAATATTGTCTCATCTAATTGTACTATATTTCAAATTTTAATTGAATAGAAAGGTAAATATTTATTTTATGCTTTAATTGGTATTCCTAACAATGATTTTATCACTCATTCCTCTCTTCTCTTCATCCTATTATTTCATTAAATATTTTAAATTTATTATTGAAACTGGTTCATAAAAAGAGGCAAGATATTTGAGCAATAACAATCAACAATCCACTATTAGCTGTGACAATTGTCATCAGCATTTTATCTTAGTATAATTCATTCTTTCAATGATGTCAACCCTAAATACTTTTAAAAAGTGACAACATTTCCTTGCAATTCAAAAAAAAAAAAATAAAATAAGGTGTTTGTTTCTGCATTGAAGAAAAAAAAAATGCTTCATTAAGCTTTGCAGACTTATCAACTTTACGGCTACGTCATATACGCTTCTGCGGTTACATCAATAATTATGCGTGACGCTTAGAGCAAAATGGTATCAGACGTAGATTCTGAGAACATGGCTTAATGGAAGACAATAAAATGGACATAAATGCTAAAGTGAAATTTAAAAAGCAAACAATTTGCAAATCGATATTTCAGGAAAGATTTTTAGAACTGAAATAGTTAGACTAAGTCATGCTAACTCATCCAAAATACCACTAAACGTTTTATAGTTTGATGATAATCAATTTTAAAATAAAACCAATATGACTAATTATGATTTGATAAAAAATTTATCACTAATTATCACTAATTCTGATATGATAAAAAAGATTTTTAATTATTTCATTTTATCAAATATATTCAAATATACTCCAACAAGTGTGACAGATGAGATTGGAGAATTCCATTTAAGCATTAGAATTGTCAGAGGAATGACGTTGATTCTGTGAAAGATTAAAATGAGATATTTCTTTGTATGTCTCATATATTCCATCAAGAATTATCAATCAATTCAATTATAAAAAAAAACTGACTGAAATTGCTTTATTCAAATATTTCCCATTGGAACAAAGAAGAAGAAAAAAGAGGGAAAAAAATATAAAAAAAAACGAATGAATAAATAAATGAAAAGAAGCAAAAATATGACTGCCAAAGACATTCTTCCATTTATTTTAATAAAGTATGTTCAAGATGAGTGGGTGGTGAAAGTAATTTGCAAAATAATTTACGAAAATGGGTATATAACATCTGAAATGGGGTAAATTTAGTTAATTAATCTGCTGAGACTGCTAAGTTATTGCTGCTTAGTAACGAGAAGTAAAATAGATGAGAAAGAGTAACTCAAATTGTGTAAAGTAATGAAATAAAAAGTACTTATAAAGTTAAGCTATTTAGTAAATATAATAAAAATGAAAAAAAAAAAAAAGAGGAACGATGTTATCAGTGAAAGAGTAATAATGAATAGAGTAGAGTAAAGTAAAGTAGAGTAGAGTATAAAGTATTAAAAAGTAAATGAGATATATGATAAATAGTTGTGAGGAAATAAAATGAAAATGGAAAATATAAAAAAAATTAAGGTGATATTAAATTAGCAGATGGATATTTATATCAATGAATAATTTGGTTAATGCGATAATAATTTAATAATAATTAATATTAATAAAAATAATAGTGATAATAATAGTGATAATAATGATAATAATATCATTCAATGAGAATTATGTTTCAATTAAAAGAGGCATTAACCCCCCGCAGCAATATATTTGGACGGAATGAATGACAACAACCTTATCAGTAGTGACCTAATTAAATGGAATGCCTCAGTTGGCACTGCAAAATAATGTTAATTGCAATTTTTGTTATAGTTAATGAGGAAGTTATTCTCATTGCAAAAACTAATACTTCAAATATTTCATTATTCTCGATTTATACTCTCGAGATAAAGTTAAGATATGTGTGGGTGTGTTGTGGAACATTTGGCTCTTGGCTTCCCTTGTTGCATCTTTTTCCATCCTAGAAATATATTGAATGGCCTAAGAAATGACGACAGTGGATAAATAGAAGATCCATCTTGAAATTTCAAGTCCACTTGTTTATACATAAAGAATATACATACACACACATGCACAGACATACACACACATGCACAGACATACACACACATACATATTTATATATAAGCATAAACATACACCCACATGCGCACATGTCTTTCAATTTAAGCTTACAGAAAGCTAACTTTAACATTCATCCAATATTACATTCAGTTTGTTTTAATCTTCTGAAATAAATCGATTACGGCAGGGATTTTTGCCTGAAAAAGGGATCCGATCAATTCGATTATTAAAAATACTTTCATTTAAACAAATGCTAAGCCAAATCTGTCACTCATTTCTCATATGCGGCAAGATGAAAGGTTTAGTAGAATGCATTATGCTAACATTTCAAAAAAGAAAAAAAAATAATAATATTCTTCCGTTTGTTTTCATCATTTTTGGTAATATTAAAAAGCATAAAGCTATTAAAATCCAAATGCATTAAAATGTTAGATCAATATGCTTTCGCTTCCGAAATACAAATTTACTGGATGGAATATGAAAATTATTTCAAGTTAGGAGGGTACGATTCAAAATATACTTTAATATTAAATATTCCATCGAAAAGTCTCGGAAATTGAATGATTCTTTGCAACTTCTGTGGTAACAATGTAATAGTTTGCAGCTAAAAGGTCAAAATGGATAGAGGTCAAGATGAAATCGGTTTTCCGGTTTTCTTTTTTCTTCTGAACAAGGACCATTTATGTTATTATCATTGCATGACAATGTTCATGAGAATAAAATTTTGAACATTTTAATATCTGCACGAATAAAATGAAAAAATTTTTATAATCAAATTTTACAATTTCATAATCAAAATAATTTGCATTTTCATTTCATTTCAATTCATTTGCTTTTTTCAAAATAAAACTAAGAATTGAGTAATTAAATAAAAAATTGAAAGAAAAAATTTTCATGAAATGATTGTTGCATAAGTGCAAATTAAAATTTGAACTAATGAATCTTCTTTTCAGTCTAAAATAATTGCATGTAAAACACAAATATAAATAACAATTAAATGTGACATTCTAATGATAGCAGTGTTTCAAATAGTGGCACAGTTGTTGACAGTGCAAAGTAATGCAAATAATTCATATTTAGTAAAAGTAAAAGTAAAAGTAAAAGTAAAAAAAAAAAAAACGAAGCACCTATGAAAGAGTAAACAAATCTTCCACTTAGGAAGTGATATGAACCATAGAATTAGTCATAAATAATCAAATTTTTAATTCCACTCTTTCAAGTTATTATATTACAAATCATTTTCTTTTCTTTTATCAGGAATAAATGATTTGTTTATAAAATTAACAAATTTCATTATTTTCTCTTTTTCATTTTTTCATTTTTTTTTTTTTTTTTTTGATAAAAAGTTCCAAAAATATTAGTAAAAGGAGTGAAAAAAACAAAATGTAAATAGGAAACAACAGCAACAGTAAAATTATTTCCTAACATAGAAGTTTTGCAGAATGATAAATTGAGAAAAAAATGAGAAAAGAAGAAAGAAAGGGAAAGATTTTAAAATTTAAATTTTAAATTTTTTTTTGAAAGATTTTAAATGAGGCAGGCAAAAGTGGGAAATAAATATTAAATAAACATTGATTGATGGATGAATGGAGAAAAAGATGAAAATTCATCATTCAAATGCTATAATTTTATAATTGATCGGTACATATATATATTTTAAAAAAAAAAAAAATAAAATAAAACATTGAGATATATTGTGGAAAACATTGAAATGCAATAATAATAGCAATGGATGATAAAGCTTAAATTAATTAATTCATATAATTGATCAGTGATTGTTTTGAAAAAAAAATTGTAGTAGCACTAAAGAATTGCTGTAATTTCGAAAAATTAAATAAAAAAACAAAAAATAAATGTATATAGTAAACATTCTATACAACATATAAATACTGCAAAGAATGCAAAATTAAAACAAAACATTCATAGCAGCAAAAAAAAAAAACAAATTCAGTCTCATTAAAATAAAAATAAAAATCAAAGTACAAAAATATGAAAGTGATGAAGAAGTGAAAAAGGGAAAAAAGAAATTGAAATAGAATCTTATTTCTTCTTCTTCATCTTCAAACAAAATTAATTGTAACTTTCTGCTTTTTCTTAATAACCGGTATTTTTTCTTTTTACAACCTTAAATAATAAACAATTTGGAGTATTAATTTCATTTCATAAATTACATTAAGCTCGGAAAAATAAAATTGGCGTAGAAAAAAAGAAAAAAAAAGGTCAAAAATTCTTACAGCAAATATAGTAACAATAATTAGCTAATATTTATTGTTCGAACAAAATTAGCATCTAAATGTGATCTTATTAAAATAACAAGAATTTAATTAGAATTTAGCAAATGAAATGGCATATTTTGTTGATTGAATTTAATGTTCGAGCAATAAATTATCATTTAATGTTCGAGCAATAAAATATCATTTAATGTTCGAGCAATAAATTATCATTTTTGTATTTGGAAATGAATAAAAAAAGTACACAACATAAAAAGTATATTAGAGAAAGTAAATTATTGAAACAACTGCAACAATTGCAATTTTAAATCATATAAGTATTATCACCGCAATAATGGAAAATAAAATGAGACCATTGAGAAGATATATACTTTTCATTTTTCTCGTTTACCGTATATGCCAGCTAAATTGTTAAAACGTGGACCCCATTTTTCAATCTGAAAAAAAAAAAAAAAATCTAACAATTTTATATATCAATTAATACTATATGGTAATAATTAAGATAATATTTTTAAGAATCTAAAACTTTAACCTATGAAACAAACATATAGAATGCACTGTTTATAAAATATAGTTCTGATAACTGATAAGATTGTATGTTATGTTTAAAAATTTACGATGAGATTTGAACTTAATAAAATTCAAAATTGTCCCTAATAAAATTTCATATATCAACACCACTTGTATTAATGTTATTTCAATACAAAATTTAACAGTTGTTTATAAAATTTAATTCAAATGGAAGAAGTGTACTTACCTCTTGATCAAGATTGCCCGAAGGAACTGCATCATCAGTTGATTCAAGCGACTCAAGTGTTACCCTAAAATTGTTGAATTTTAAATTTCCATGAGAAATGTTATTTCAATGTAATGCTTCACTTGTCACATCCTATAATTATCAATCATATGTTATCATTAATCTTACAAAAGATTAAATGTTATCTTACCAAAACAAAAAAATTGTCCAGACCTATATAATTAACAAATTTAAAGTTTGAAATAAAATATGAGAAAGTAAGGAATAACAAACCTTGATATATTATCTCCTTCATCATCATAAATTCGTAACTCATCGTATGGTGCAGTAGCATCTGGATCTGCCTCCAAATTTTTGATTCGACTGTTAAGTTTATCATCTAAATTGTAATAATAAATGAATCAAAGTTTTAAATTGATTTAGTTAGTTATTTTATCTACATTCATTTGATCTTCACAGGGATATTTGATCATTTAAGCAAAAAAGAAAGTCTAGAAAATACTCTTTGGAGCAACAATTCAATGTAGAAATTAATCAAATTCCTAATCAGTAATGATTTCAATTAATTTTTGACATTGAAATTAATTTTAATTACAAATAGCTAATATTGGATCTTTAATTGAAATTTAATTACAAATCCAGTGTCGATACTCGGAAAACCGAAAAAAAAAAACTTGTTAAACACTAAGAGTTTAAAACTATGCTAATGATTCATCACTATAAACCAATTCGTTATTCTTTTGTCATATCCTATTTTTTTGAAACAATGAATACTTTACCCAAACCTTCAAATAGTAAATGTACATCTGTCTGTTTTGTAAATGTTAATCTGATAAGCTGAACTCATTAATCTGATAAGCTGAACTCATTAATCTGATAAGCTGAACTCACTAATCTGATAAGCTAAGTCCATTTCTCCTTAAAAATCTTCTCTAATCAGTTAATAAAAAGAAACGATCGGTGACAGTCTGTCTCTTCTCATCCTCCTTCCGCTGTTTCTATTATTCAACTGTATGTTGTATCGATTCACATTTTGAAAGAAAATAAATCATATCTGGGTGATCTTACTCACAGACAAGAAGCAAAAGGTTCAATTCAAGTTCTACAAACTTAAAGTAAGTCAAGTAAACTTAACTAATCCAAATCATCTACTCAAACTTGAAGTAAATCAAGTAAATTTAACTAATCCAAATCATCTACTCAAACTTAAAGTAAATCAAGTAAATTTAACTAATCCAAATCATCTACTCAAACTTAAAGTAAATCAAGTAAATTTAACTAATCCAAATCATCTACTCAAACTTAAAGTAAGTCAAGTAAACTTAACTAATCCAAATCATCTACTCAAACTTAAAGTAAGTCAAGTAAACTTAACTAATCCAAATTACCTAACTAAAAAGTTACTTCAAATTCACGACAATATTTGCATTTGAAAATTATTCCACGAAAATATAACCAATGTATCACATAAATATAATTTTTCAACAATAGTTAAAATCTATCTCGTTTAAAACTATCTCGTCCCTTAGTACTGCGAGTGCTTAGTTCTTTAAACTATCAAAATGTAATTGGCCAATATATGATGATATTTTTTTGGCTTCAAATCTCAAAAATACATATTATTGTATCTCAGAAATTTACTGTACCTAAATAAGACTATTTTTATAAAATTATTTTGCTATATTATAAAGAATTATTTGACAGTATAAAGTGAAATATTTCATTTTTTAGTATAATTTTTTTTTTTTAAAAATTCAAACCAATTTGTGTACGTTGCATTGGATATACAGGTTGTGCATAGCCATTTATACCATTTTCCTCGATTGGCATAACAGGTTTACGAAGATTGGTGATATTGTATTGGTCATTGTCCGCCTCACCACCACCTTCCAGATCATATGGCCTTAAATTGTCACGATTGAGCTCTTCGGGACGAACAGGCTCAAATGGTGGTGTATGACGTCGAGTGTATACAACCATTAACAAAACCATCACTGTAAATTGTTCTAATTTAAATTCTTTATAATACTGACAAATAATGCAAAAAAAATAAATTAAACTAATTTATGTACTAATTTAAAAAAAAATCTCAGAAGTATGGTTATTTCAAATTTAAATTTCAATTTTCGAATATAAGATTAAACAATCTACATACTAATTAGTAAAATCAAGCATATGAGAATAAGGATGATTGCAGGACTGGAAATACCAAGGCTGCTAACAGCTAATGTTTCACCACAACCAACCAATTCACCATTAGCACCAAGAAGTACCTATAAATAAAAAAAATTTTTTTTTTAATTTATCAGTTCAATTTTAATATCTGAAATTCTCGTAAATCTAAAACAAATGAAGTTAAATATTTGATTGGTTAAGATAAAAAGTATAGATGAATCATTTACCTATAAAGTAGATGAATAAATTTTACCTGTGCACCTTCCGGACATGTACAGAATGGTCCTTTCCAGAAATCAACACAAACAAAAGAACCGCCGCAATATGCAAAACCGATATTAGCGCATGTTTTACGCAATGAACAACCACTTTGGACACCTTTTGATTGCTTCACTGATATGATCGAATCACTATCACTTTGGCCATAACTACCTGATCGTTCTCCACTCTTTATCAACGGTAAATTAATATGTTGCCAACGAAAAGTACCAACACAACCCTAAAAGTGAATTTCAATCAAACAAATATTATTATAAAAAAACTTCATCAATTGTATCATTATTGAAATATTCATTTCAATAATTAGATGATCACTCTTCAACTCTTCAATCCTCATATTTTATCTCGAATTAGCCAAATCAGTATGAGAGATAATGATTAATTTCTTTTTCTTTTTTTGACTAAGTAATATTTATATTTAGGGAAAGAAACAAATGAAAATTTAGTAATTTAGTATCTTTACTACTAAATTATATCAATAAATTAGGATAAAAATTCAAAAGAATTATTTACCCTAAAACCTTTGTCACCTTGAACACTTAATGCACCAAGAAGTAATTCATTTATATCAATCTGATATGGAGTTTTGAGTGGATTTAAAGGTAATACACCACGATAAACACCATCAACAGATAAAGATGCACTGAAAAATGATAATAAATTGAGAGATTGCTATCAACTAGAATTATAATTTCAATTTATCAAATATTATCATTATCAATAACAAAAAATTTTAACCGAAAAGAAAAAAAGGAAAGGAAAGGAGAAAACAAACCGAACAGGACTTCTGGAAAATTGCATCCAGTATGAGATATTATCTTGAAGATGCAAATTAGTCAATTGTAATTCTACCGGAGTAGTAGATGAAGCAGTAAAACTAGAGCTAAAGTCAAATTTCGCTGTCGGTGAATAATTTTCTATCGAAGTGCTGATATACTGCAAGGAAAAAGGAAAATGAAAAATTATTATATAATTCAAATTTTACTTTTCTATTAGAGAATAAAATATTATTTTCAGGAAAAGAGAATCAGGAATAATAAAATTACATTTTCATCATAAGTTAAATTTTTTCTTAAAAGACTTTCTCAATCATATGATTACACAGCTATTTTTGATTTTAGATCAAAATGAAATTGATCCGTTTTTAATGATTATTGATGATACTATTCAAGTAAATAGAAATTCAATTTATTAATTAAAATTGGATCAATTTTTTTAAACGATAAAATGATAACAAACTTATAATGCATCAGATAAGTGAACAATAATATTTGTTTCTTTAATCATTTAAATTAAAGTTAAATCAAACGGATAAAAGTTAAAAATTTTTAAACATACTTTTTCACCAGCACCAGCAAAGCCAAGCTCTCCGGTTCCAGCATTAGCTTTACCAGGCAAGAATAATACATCGACATCGGTTGTCTTATCTTCCAGACCTACTTTCACATCATATTCGACAAATGAGCCAGGGCCAAATTCAACCCATTTAAATGGAATGTCACATCGATCACCACCATATCCAGGGTCACATAAACATTTTGGCACATTCGACTGTAAAAAATAAATTTAAAAAAATCTCACTTCATTTCTTTTCGGTAACTTTGAAAAATATGTTCAATGAAATGTAACAGGTTATTCTTAATTTTTTCCTCAATAAGCAAATTTAAAGTTGAATTCACAAATAAATTTAATTTAAAATTGAAGAATTCACAAATAAAACATACCACCAAATCAGAAATGCATTCGCCGTGAACACAATACGGTCCACTGATATCATTTAGACCACAAGCTGCTTCCGTAAGTTGACAACCAATTTCGGAATGCTCTTCACTAGCATAATCCGGAACACCCAAATCATATAACTCATTGTTTACCATCAAATCACGTATGCAACCTTTGAAATTCATTGCAAAAGCAGTTATCACTCCTGGATAGCGTTCTTTGCCGGATAGTGGTGCAACTCCGCCAATCTAAATTTTAATCAAAAAAGAAACTATTTATTACCAATAAGATTATTATCACTTGTATTGTTCAATTTCTTATCACTATTTTATAATTTTAATCTTAAAATAATAACATTACTTATTAGTAATTAATTTCTTTTAAACAAAAATCTTAATAAATAGTACCTGTAACGGTGCAACAACATTTAATCGTTCATCATCATCCGCTGTTATTTTAACACGACGACAAGAAGAATCATCAATTCCAATAATTTTATCACCTGTTCCAATAGGTACAATTGTATAGCAACTATCAATTACTAATTCAATATGCTGAAATGAGTAAATAATTATGATATATAATAACATTCAAATCATTCAAAATACTTCATTAATACTCAATTTCAATTAAGAATAGAGCTTTTAAATAGAAATAAATGATGACCTTGCCATCCTGATACAGTGTAACCGTATGCCATTTTCCGTCATTAAGAGCATCAGAGCCTGAAATCTGTATCGGATTAGCCACAACACCATTAAACATGAGATCGGCTTGTATACGACCGGAAACCAATCGTATGATCACATAATCCTTATAATCTGCTCTTCCGTACGTGCTATTATCACCCATTGGACCATTATACAACAATAAACCGTTAGCTTGTCTGAAATTCATTACCGGATTTACCATCAATCAATGATCATTTCATTAAATACTCAGCTTATTCAAGTTTAAATATGCTATATTTTTCTGAACATTTCAGGAAACAGGAAATAAGGAGATATATAATCAGAAAGTGTAATATCAAGTATGAATGCTCCTTTAATTTGAAAGTTTAATTAATTAATATAGCACATTAATGAGTTGTAAATTGAGGAAGAAAGAACAAACAGTAATAAATGGAGTAGGATAGAAAAAGGAACAAAACTCAAAATATATTTTTAAAAAGATGAAAATAAAATTATATTAGTTGAAGTAATGATTACTTACTTAGTTAAAAATTGTAGAGAAATATTCAACGATGTACATGCCGGAACCGGTTTAAACCAAGCAAATCCTTGTCCATCAAATGAACGTGTGGTACCTTGACATCGTAAACCTTTCAGGAAATTATTACGACATTCACAGAAGAATCCAGGATAAGTGTTATGACAAACACCGGAATTGAGACATAGATTTGCTTGACATGATGAAGGTGGTGTAAATACTGGACAAATGCAAGTATCATTAGACCATGCATTTACACCAACAATAACTGTTTGATTAGCAGATACGACAATACCTTGCTAAAACAATAAACATTAATGATAAAACTATCTCTCACTATAACCTATAACCTTTTCTCTCATTTATTAAATTCAATTATATCAAACAATTTGCAATAAACAATATCAGCTTTTATTGAATTTTTTTGTAGATTAGCAGTAAAAATTTTTAAAATTTAAATTTCTAAAAAAAAAAAAAAAAATGAAATAACAAATATATGTTACCTCATTAGCATGATTAACAGTTTGACATCCTTTATCACATACAGTAAATTTACACATATCAATACCAGCTGATACAATTGTCGCACCAATTGCTTTTTCCAGTTCACTACGATATTGTGCAATTAAACCGTTCAGTAAAATTGGACTTTTATACGGACTACCATGAGCCGAAAAACGGACATCTAATACGGTTGGAGCATAATTTTGTAATACAATTTGATCTTGCTGAAAAAAATTTTTCTAATTTAAACTTTTTAAAATAATTTAATAAAATTATGCTAACAATATTTTATAAATTACACAATGTTTTGCTTATATTTCACATTTCTTTATCATTATCACAGATTAATTTCATTTAATAATTTCATTTTAAAAACAATTTTTAAATTACAGTAATTATTTAGTATTTTAATGAAAAAAAGTAAAAAAAAAAAAAAGAATCTTGTATACTGTAATCTTAACATCATAACTACAAATAATGAAATTTTTTTTTTTTTTTGGGAAAGTAATAAACCTTGATAGAAAAGACATCCAATTCTGAATTCCCATCCAAATATTCATTCATTTTATTCACAAATCGACTCATCGGACTGGAACCGGTTGAATCAACTCTTATAAAACTTCCCGGTGAATCAAGTCCATTAGGTGACAGCATAATTCTTATTGCACCCTGTTAATTCAACAAATTACAACTTAAAAAATAAATGTTGAATTAAAATAATTTTTTTTTTCTTAGATTAAATAAATTTAAAAAGAATGAAAGGGAAAAAAAAAAAACCTGATTTTCAAAAGCAGCAGCAGGTACCATCTTTATAATAACATTAACAACACCTTGTGCTTTCTCATTACGTCGTTTATCAACAACATTAGCAGTCATCTGATATGTTCGAGATGGCATATTAGCATCCATTGTAATCTGAAAATTCAAAAAAAAAAAAAATTATACTTTAAAAATTATGCATAAAAAAAAAGAATAATTTTATTATTTAGAAAAAAAAAAAATTAAACTGTCAACTTTATGCCATAAAGAAATATTAGATTTGATAAGACTATTAAATCAAATAAATTCAATATTTGATTATATTACTAAGCCTTAATTATTTCTCCCTGCTTTTCACTCCATTTCAACTTCATTTCAATCTAATTAACATAATTCTAGACAGAAATTGCTTCATTATTATTCACATTGAGATTAATTATGCAAATGCCTAATCAATTTTTAACTTTTTAATTATGAAAACTGATTCAAAAGAATGAATTTAAAAGTAAAATGCAAAAATTACCTCTCCATTAATAGCAAGACTGAAGCCAGGTAATGATTTACCAGGTGCCCATGAGAATATTTTATCTGGTAGATCCCAGTCATCCTTATCCTCAACATATACTCGTCCAATTACTGTTTTCTCGAGACGTCCCAGATAGCTATTCACAAAAATGGTCATTTCACCATTTCTCATCGGACTATCATTCTAAAACAAACATTGACAATTTGATACACTTTAAAATGAATTTAAATTATTTTAATACAATTTAAATTATCTGTAAAATTACAAGAATCAAAAAAAAAATTATTTTTTACAAAAAAAAAAAAAAAGTTATAACTAAATTTTCATATACAACCAGTATTCCTTCAAAAAAAAAAAACATCAGAAAATTCAAATTAAGATATACTTCAAAAATAGATTAGCAGACTAAAGTGCTACAATTAAATTTCTTTGAACCCTCAATAAGTATTATTAAAATGAAAAATAAAAAAAGCGATATTTGATTTTCTATAAAAAGTAATCTCATTAATTCAAAAGCATAAAAGATTTAGCAATGAATGATACTTGAAATAAATTAATATTCCATTCAATTCTATCCAAAATCACAAAAGAATAGAAAATAGAGACAAAAAAAAAAAGAATTCATAGTTTTTTTTTTTTTTTTTTTCATTCACAAATGACCTTTGACCGATGATAAATGAAAAGGCCAAATAGAAATATCTAAAAGCATAACAATCTATTATTTATTCCCTGGGAAGTGCATCTGATCAAATTCTGAGAAAATTTATTGAAGAAATGCTTAATTATAGACTACCCATATGCTTTTTTTAACCAAAATACTCAAATAATTTTCCTTAATGCATTGATTATTAATGCAATCTTCGATCTTCAAATTTTCATATCACAATTTAGAGTTCAAAATATTTTTTTTAAAACATTAAAACTTATCAATTCTATCTATTTCAATTATAAAATTCAACTTTGAAATAATATTCTTTTTTTTTTTTTTTTTGTAATAACATAAAATTATTTTATAAAAGATATTAATTTAAAAAGAAAAAAATGCGAATTTGTGTTATTTTTCACAACCAGCAGAGTAAATTGTATTTTCCTTTTTTTTTTTTTAAACTAAATTAAAAGTTCAAATTTTTCATTGAATTTGTTTTGTTATTAATTAAAGAATAATAATAATTAGAAATGTTTATTCTTGTTTCAATCTTTTTAATTACAAAAAGGCCTGTCACATTGCTTTTATATTTTGCCGAAAATACATGTACTTACTGAAATCGCACTTTTTTTTTTGAACAATCAAAAATTTAGTATTTGAAATGAAGCAATTTAATATTTGAAGTGACAGCAAAAAAAAAAATGTCACCAAATATTAGTGTCACCTTTTTTTTTTTTTTTTTTTGATGAAATTTATAATTTTAGTAAGAACTATTTAATGTAAATTACCTCATCACCAATAATAATGTAAACAGAACGTTCCGACTGTAAACCACCCGAATCTTTCAGGATTATCGGAATTTCAAGTTGTTTTCCCGGAAATTCAGCTTCACGATCTAAACGTTGTTTTGCTGTAACAATCATCGAACCATTACCATTATCACCATCTAAAATAAATAAATTTTAAAATTTAATACCAATTTTTTCAATCAATAAAATAAAAAGTTAAAAAATTTCAATAAACTGATAAAATACGGCAAATAATTTGACAGAAATCTGCATGATGATACTAAACAAAAAATTTTTAAACTAGAAAATTCTAGCATAAATGAATTGCTATGCAATTAAAAATTTATCTGTAACAATAAAATATATTCTCATAAACAATTCACATATTGTAATATCAACATAATCCATAATTTATTAACTTAGAGTTAACATATCATAAAATTTAGATTATAATTAATCAAACAAAAATTTTTACTTTTATTATAGACAACGTTTAGATATGCACCAAATTTGAAATCTGATGCTAATTTCATTATGAAAGGTGGTCCATTCTCACTGAAATGAAAAATGTTAGTTTAATTTTCTTTTTTTTTTTTTGTTAAATCTTAAAAAAAAAAATATTTTTTTTTTATTTCATATATAATAAAAACATCTTTTGATCAGCTGTACCGTTTTTTTCTTTTTTTTAAAAAAACCGTAAAACTAATTTTCAAATTAAAATTTGAAGATTAAAATTTAAATATGAATTTTTGAGTAATTGAAATTTTATAAAATTGAGCAATAAATTAATCAAATTTATTTTTTTCTTTAGGTTGTTGCATACATGGTATCCGGATCGTATGCTCGTATCTCACATATTGGTTGCATTGTTGGTTCGGTATTTTCCATAAAGACACACGGATTTGGTACCGTATATGGTACCGGTGCATTATCATTAACATCTTGCACATAAATTTCAATTGTTTGAAATCCAACATTTCCAGCTACAAAAAAAAAAAAAAAATTTATAAGAAAAAATGAGAAATAGTCTAAAGATGAAATTTATACAACGTACTAAAAATATGTCAAAGTAAAAGTTAATAAATGACAAAAATGAGACAAACAAAATAAGCTAATAAAATTATAATTTAATTCATTTATCAAGTATAAATTTCTTTTTTTTTTTATAAAAAATAAACAAACCAGAATCAAATGCTTCAATAACTAAATTATATTTTGGAATTTCTTCACGATCAAGTCGTTGAGCAACACATAATGATCCACTTTGATCAATTGAAAATTGACGTTTTGGATCAGTTTGTCGATTGATTCGAAATCTAAAAAATTATCATTTCAATTTAGTTATTACATAACTTTTAATTAAATTTAATACTCTCTTTTTTTCCTTTTTTTTTCAAAGATATTAGTAATAAAATTTTGCAATCAATTTTGCTTTTTTTATTGATAAAATTTTGCAAGAAATTTCACAAAAATCCCTTTCATTGATTAATATCAAACATTCATCCATCTTTTTTTTCCCTTTCATTAAATTTTATTCATCTCAGTGAAATAAATACTTCATTAGTTGTTCCCTATTTCATTGATATAAAATGCCATACGAATGGGAATAGATTTAATTAGTTTCAATCGAAATATCTTTGCTAATACTTTTATTGCATCATGCATCCTTTTCATTTCATCAATATATCTAAATTATTATTAGACAGACATTTTCAATAAATTAGCAAATGATATGTGCTATATTGGATTTTTTTTATAGTAAATGAAATTAAGAATTTAATTTTAATAAGTGAGCTATTCTTATTCAGTCTTGACCATTTCTTTTTTTTTTTTTAATAAAATGTATTATTATATTATTATTATTATTATTATTGTTATTATTATTATTATATTATTATTATTACTATTATTATTATTATTATTATTATTATTATTATTATTATTATTATTATTATTGTTATTATTATTATTATATTATTATTATTACTATTATTATTATTATTATATTATTATTATTATTATTATTACTATTATTATTATTATTATTATTATTATTATTATTATTATTATTACTATATTATTATTATTACTATTATTATATCATTATTATTATTATTATTATTATTATTATTATTATTATTATTATTATTATTATTATTATTATTATTATTATTATTATTATTATTATTATTATTATTATTATTATTATTATTATTATTATTATTACTACTACTATTACTATTATTATTATTATTATTATTATTTCATCATTTTATTTCTATTAAAAAAATTATGATAGCAATTTTTCGAGGAAAATTAAATTGTTTATTCAAAAATGTTCATTTTATATTAAACTGAAATTTTGTTCATTTTTTCTTTTTCTTTTTTTTTTTTTTGAAACATAATAATATGCTACAAAATATGATACTAAATGTATGCAAAATATGCTTCATAAATTGTATCAATTTAAATTTAAATTTTTAAAATATTGAATTTAACAAGAAAAAAAAATCGATTACTTTTGATTTTTATTCATTCACTAAACAAACAATTAAAACATTAATGTTCATTTCATATTATTTCAGTTATTTAGAAAATTAAAATTTTCATAATTTCTCCCCTAAAAAAACGAATTTTTTTGTGGAAGAAAAAAAAAACCTGAATGTTCCATTTAATTTCTGGAATTTTAATTAAAAAAAATTAAATAAATATTTTTGTCCATAAAATATATAATCAAAGTATAGTGATAATTTTTTTTTCTTGTTTTTAATTTAAATAACTTATTTATATTTATGCACAATTAAAAAAATCCGTACAGATATATAAGTTAATAGTAATTAATACTGATATAATTTTATTGTTCTGACCGTTGCTAATTCCCTCCGTTTTTCCATTCCGTCCGGATTTAGCGGTTAAAGAAAAATTTGCCTTTTGCTCTATTCCTCACAAATTAGATATTATTATTTTTTTCTAACATTTTTTTATATTTATTATGCAATTTTATAATAATATAAAGCTGAAAGCCAATATAACTAAATGATAAAAGATAAGATAAACTGTAGTGAAAATCATTTTAATAATATTAATAATAAATAATAAAAAAATGATTTTTCATTTTTATTTCAACAATTCTAAATTAGATAAAATTGTAAAAGTAAAATACATTTTCTCATCGATTATAATTTTAGAAAAAAGTTATAATCAAATAGTACTTAGTTGATTAATTATGTGTCAATATAACCTGTTTAGGTTTAGGTTTATGATTGAAATTGACAACAATTTTGTTTGATTAATAGTAAAATATTGAAAGAATTTATTTTCTTTTAAGTATTGTTTAAAAATTTTTGATTTTATCTCTTTTAGCAATGGGAACAAGTACTAAACTATATTACGAAGGTCACTATCCAACAGGTGCAAATATCGGGATGAGTTGATAATTACAACACCTAAAATGTTACAGGGTTAACTCTCCCTCTCTCTCTCTCTCTCTTCGGTGTCAAATCGGTAAACATTATTTAAGCCTTTTCGTCACCTCTGTAATTAAAGGTCAATATGTAATCTTGATTCACAAATAGCAATAATTTTTATTTATTCATTCTCATTAAAAGGAAACCCTTAAAATGAGTTTGACTTTAAAAAAAAAAAAAAAAGTTAGTATTTTTAATTCTTTTAAATTTTATCAAATTCTTTTTTTTTTCATTCCGGAAAGATTAGTGAAATTTTTTCTTTCATTAATTAAATAGTAATAAATTAAATTACGAATTTTTTTTTTTAAAAAAAAAAACTATAAACTATAAACTATGCTCTCATATGCAAAAATTATGAGTTCAAATTTTTTTTTTTTTTTTTTTGCTTATTGTGATTTTAACATTTTCTAATCTTATGTGTTCCCTTTAAAATAGAGACAAACATACTTTATGTGATTTTAATCAAAGAAAAAAGAAAAAAAATAAATAAATGGAACAACGGGCTTTGTTGTCACCAAAAAATAAATAAATAAATAAATAAATAATAAATAAATAAATAAATGGAACAGTTCAATTATAACAAAAATAGTCAAAAATTTTTTTTTTTCTCCCTAAAATTAGGAATAAAATAGCTAATCGATTAAGCAATTAATTCAATAATTAATACAGATATTAAATTTGCTAAGCGATCTGTGATAAGCGAATAATTTTTATCATTTCCAAATTTATAATTCCATTTCTTTTTTTTTTTTTTTATTTTATTTTTATTCATAACTAATTAATTCGATATTCATCAGCTCAATTTGAAAATTAATCAATTCTGATTGATGAGATCAGTTCGATTGATGATCATCCATTGATTGTAGCTTATTATTGCATATCATAATGCATATTTTGTCACCAAATGAAAGAGTAAATTATGAGAGAGTGATAATATGAATGATAATAAATGATAATACAGAATGGTAATATGATAAGAGTGATAATATGATAAATGATAATAAGAATGATAATAAATGATAATACAGAATGGAATGTTATCACTATAAAATATCAAAAATTATCCCAGTTTATTTGCCATTAACCATAAAATGTTCAGAAATTACAGCAAGCACTTAAATTTCTTCGCTTTCTAATTTCATCAACAAATCGTAACTGATCGTAATTTAAGATAAATTCGAAACAGACACTGAAAGCAATCCTATATGATAACCACAGTGTACAATAATCATTTATCGATTATTTAAAATGATAACACACACACACACACATGCATGAGTGACTCATTGGTGACTAATTCAAGGTCAAATGTCCAAATATTTCTCAAACAATAAATTTCAAACATTCGATCAATTTTAAAATTTAAATAAAAAAAAAAAAAGCATTTTACAAGTGTTCAGGATGCACTTATGCTAAAATTAATTACAATCTCATATAAGTTTCTTTTTTTTTTTGTTCTCAAAAAGAAAACAGATATCTATAGAAGATCTAATTAATACTTACTACACTGCAAAAGTTAACAGTTACTTACTTACTTCAATGTAAGATTAGTATAAAAGTTAAGTTATAACGTGGATAAAAATGTATTAAAGGTTAAAAGTCAATAGTTAAGCTATCAATATCAGTTTATTTAAAGAAAAAAATTTTTTTTTTCTAGTGATAAAAATAAATAAATAAATAAACTTACGTTAGATTATGTGTCATTGAATCCTTATCTTCGGCACGAAATGTTGCAATCAATGTGCCTACGGGTGTATCTTCTGTTAAATTCTTTGTTAGCCTTACCACAATATCACGCTGACTTTTACCAGCAAAATTCAAGAATCGTGATTGGCTAGGATATGAGCCAAGAAAAAGTTGTGATAATTCTTGGCCATCTACTACTACTACTACTGAGGTAAATAAAATAGCCAGAAGAAGACACCAAAGTATGGAATTATTTGAAATTTTTGAACTTTTCGAAATAACATTAACACAATGGTCATTTAAATGATGACGCATCTGTGAGCGAACGTTGTACATATGCTGAAAATTCCGCAGCGGAATAGCAGAATTAATTATATCAGTGGTACTAGTATCGATAGACTCACACTGCGGTATCATTTTCATCCGCATCCTGAACCGTAAATTTGGCAACCTCTTTGCCAAGCCATGCATCTTCATGTAATTGGACATATTGTGGTCCGTTGATGACCGGCGGATTGTCATTCCTGTCCTGGAGCTCGATGTACAGTTTAGTTGTTGCATAGTATCGGCCATCATAAACACGAATACCAAGCGTGAAACCGTCACGCTGTATTGGATCTTCGTAATCTAACGGCTATAAAAGGAAACAGAAAATAAAAAAGCTACGTTACTTCCGAAGAATGCTTTCAGGAATTTTTTTTTTCTTTCTTTCTTTTTTCAGCTTCACTTAGTTGCATGAAAATAACTTTTCTTCCGGATTTCACAGTGTCGTTAAATAGATGGAACGACTGAAGAAGTAACTTTTAGAATGAATCAGAAGGAAGATGATAAATACGGAAAGATTTTTGGAATGAAAAAAAGCCGGAAAGAATAGAGGAAGCACACACAAACACATACACAATTTAGGTATGTGTTCTTATGACAGTGAATCAGCTTATTGTATGTATACTGCAAATAGTTCATACAGGTGTGTTTGTTGACTGAAGAAGAAAAGGCACTTTGATGATGACAAAGCAAATGATGAAGAAACCGGAAAGAGACAGTATACCTCTGATCAGGTAAAGGAAGGGAAATCCTGAATTGATGTAAGATTAATAATGTAGTTTTAATATGGCAGTGTAATGAACTCTAAACATAAAACTTTTCTTCTTCAAGTTCGTTCGAATTTTCCAAAAACAAATTCAAATGTTTTATGTTTTGTATGAAATCTGAAAATAGAATGAAATTATAAAATAATAATGAAAATAATTTAATGATACGTTTGTATGAATTATAAGAGAACGAACAAATTTTCGAATACAATATGATAATGAATTAAGCAGTTGATATTTTCATCTTTTTAGTTTACATATCAAATAACTGATAAGAGAGTATTTTAGTTGATGAATCATTTAAATTTTGTCCATCAATAAATGACCAATATATAAATATGTTGTAAATAAGAATAGAAAAAGAGCAAATAAAATAGGTAAGATTAAAGGAAATGAAAAGCAAATAAATATTTTTAATAAAAAAAAAGAATTAAAGTAACTAATTTGATGTTTAGCTTATTTATAAAATATAAACATTTTGTTTATCTGAATAAGACCATCCTAACAATAGGTAAACAAATATGGTCAGTATTGATCATCACCAAAATAAGAAAAAGAAGAATGAAGAATGAAGAAAAAAGCAAAAATTCTTCCTGATAAAAGCTTATGATATTATGAATGTAATATTCATAAGGAGAGAGAGAGGGACAGAGAGAAGGAGAGAGAGAGGGAGAGAGAGAGATGTTATGCCTATAAAGGTGAAATAATTTTCAAATAATACAGAGAGGAATCTCTTTTTGAAAGAAAGTATTTAAGTTAAAGCAAAACATTTGGCAATGAAAAAAGAAAAAAAAAATGAGCTCAAATGCATATTTAGAAAAAAAAAAAAAAAAGGAAATATGTATGCATTTTAGAGTGTAAAAAGAAAAATCATTTAGCAAAAATGAAAATCAATTTATTATACTCTAAAATCAATTTGTCGAGAAAACCAAATAATTTCCTAAGAGATTTCATTTCATTTCATTTTCAACAGAAAAGAAAGAATGAAATGAAAATAAAAGTTATAGGAAGTTTTAGTTTATGGAAATCACTTTTTTTAAAAAAAAAAAAAAAAATGAAAAGTATGAGTTAAACAATTAAAATTAATAAGAATGATAAATATAAATGCTTATTACAGAGAAGACTAATTGATGTTAATTTGTTACATTTAATTATACGACATAACTAATTTTATAATTCAAACTTCATCAGTACAACTAGTAACAACTTGTGACATTTTATTCGAGAATTGACAAGAAGAAGACGAGAATCAGATGCATTCTTAAACTGACAATTTCTATCTTCTCCATTTCATATCATTTCAGTATATCTCTATCTTGACCAAACTTTCATATAGATATGTCATAATTGTAGCATTGCAACTTTTACATCATCAATTTCCCGCATCATTTATTTCATAGCATTTCTTTTCATTTAAAACAATTCGAATTATTTCTAATTTTAGTATGAATATAAAATTATCAAATGATTTCATTAAAGTTTCTACTAATTAAACTTTTAATGAAACTATGTTTAATTTTTAATAATAACAAACAACATTTAGGATTAATAAATTCGTATAGCTTAACAGTGTAACAAATTTGTAAATGATAATATGACAACAATCTCGATGAAATGATGTGACAAAACTCTCGATGAGATGATATGACAATGTCCTTTATGCGACAATTAAGAATTGAACAGTGTTTTTTGAATTCATTTACTGAGAATATTGCTAGTTTTTCTTTCTTTTTTTTTTTTTTTTAAATACAACAAAAAAAAAATAAAATATTGATTTTAGATTTTATACTAATTATTTTTAATTTCATTTAAATTACTAGAAACAATTATAACAAGGAATAATTTCATATATACATCTATCATTAACAGATTCACTATGTATTAGATTTAACAAATTGCTTTTTTTTAGAAAAACAAATTCTCGAAGTGTATGAATTTAGGAAAAGAAAGGAAATGAGAACAATTGAATCAACAAATTTTCACAAATTGAGGAAGTAAAATAGCGTAGAAATTAGAACTAAGATAGAATGCAAAAATTAGGTTTGGAATAAAATGGATGAAATAAATAAATATTTTAATTTTTTTCAAAAAATTTCAGACAACAAAAAAGTGAAAAAGAGAAGTGTATTCCTGCGATTTTATTTTAAATTTAATAAAAATGACAATTTTGATGTCACTCATACATCGTGAAATAATCATAGGAAATAAGATGAAATTGAAAAGTGAGAATAATTAATAGGGTTGTATGGCCAAATAATTTCACAGATATTCGATTACCTTGAAAAAAAAAAAAAAAAAAACTATTATAACGTTTATTTTTTATTATAACTGTAAATCTAACAATTAACTTTTCCTACAAACAGGAATTTTTTTTTTTTTTTTAAAATATTTCTGTCAATTTTCTTTTTTCTTTTTATATTGCTTTCCTCCTCAATGGGTCAATTCTTATTGGACGATGAAAACGATTATAGCGACATCGACAAGAGAAAACCAAGCAATAAATGAAGTTTGAAATATCCTACGACAAAAAAAAAAAAAAAAAAAATTGAGGGACGATCTATGTTGACCTTAATTTTATAAATTTCATTCATTTCAATCACTTTTTCCCTTCACTATTATATTTCCCAAAATGTTTTATCTCCTATCAAAAATTTAAATTTTATTGTAGAAAAAAAAAAAGTAAGAAAGTATAGTAAAATAATTTTAAGCTTATTATTGAAAATAATAATTATCTCAACAAGCAATAGAATTTATCAAATATTTTAGAAATAAAAAAAAACAATTTTTGAATTTCAATATAGTTCGGCTTAATATCAGAAAAAAGAATTGATGAATAGTTTCAATGATAAAATATTGCAAAAAAAAAAAAAGGAAAGAAAAAGAAAGAATTAATCACTTCACGGATCATTTATGTGAAATTGTTGAATTTGCAATCAAAAATTTTGTAAAAAAGTTTTTTTCCTTTTTTCGTTTTTTTTTTTTTAGTTCAAAAATGTTTTATGAAAAAAAAAAAGAAACTAAAAATCTTTTTTTAAATGATAATAGTAGCAATTTACGATGATACATACATTTGCCTTATCGTTGCAACAAAATCAAATCGATCACCGATCGATCAATTTCCTACGCTTCGTCACAAAAAAAAAAAAAAAGAAAGAAAAAGAAGAAATAAAAAAAAAGTTTCCAACTCATTAATTACAATATAATAATATTTTAATAATTATTTACAATAATTTAAAATGGATTTTTCATAGCAAAAAAAAAAAGTTAAAAATTATAAAATGAAAAGAAAAATTTTTTAAGAGAAAGAAAAAAATTATTTGCTTGCATTTATATTTCTTATAATTATTCCATTCAATCTCTCATTCAATACTATCAAATGTTTCGCTATGGGGTAAATACATTGAAATGAAAATAATAATTTTATGGGTAAATACACTGAAATGAAAATAATAATTTTATGGGTAAATAAATTGAAATGAAAGTAATAATTTTATGGGTAAATAAATTGAAATTAAAGTAATAATTTTAGTATTTTATAACATTTCAGAGTAAAAGTAATAAAATTTGCAGTGAAATAAATTATAAAATTATCATTTATTCATTTAAAAGTTATAATATAACATTTAGAAGTTAAGAAAAAAAAAAAAGAAATAACCAACAGATATTGGTATAAAAGTAAAAAATGTAAATATGAAAAATAAAAAAAAGTTTGTAAAAAAAGTTTACAGTTATTTACACCTATGTATAATTACTATTCATTTAAAATTTTTGCATAACTTTGCATTGTTTCTTTTTTTTTTTTAAATTATAAAATAAAAAAGAATTAATTTAGAGTGAGAAAAAAAATTTTCATTTTCTTCTAAAAAAAAAAGTTTTCCTCTTTTTTTTTTCTCCCTTTTTAAAATGATATAAAAATTTTCTAATTTTCATAAATTATTTTCTAGAAACAGGAAGAAAAAAAAAAGACAATCTAATTATAATTTATGAGAATTAAAACTTTTAAAATTATTCTCAAATTGTTACCTTTAATTTCTTTCTAAGAAAATAACAAATATTTATTTAAATGATTGATGTATAATTTTTGAATACAATAAAAAAATAAATTATCATTAAAATTATATAAATATTGATTTTTTTTTTCTTTCGAATTTGTAATTTATTTTGTGTAAAAAAGTGATTTCATATAAGAAAAAAAAAAAGAGGATTAAATTATAATTAATGAACAATCTGAAGTTAAATCATTAATCAAAGTTAACATTGATGAAATTAATTTTAGCTCAACGTCATTTCATTTAATATTTTGATCACATTTGAAAAAAAAAAAAAAAGGCGGAAAGTTGTAAAGCAAAAAATGAAAAAGCTAAAAAAAAAAAAAAAACCTTAGAATTACTTTATAATCTACTCTACAAAAACTTTTCACTAAATTTAATCATTGTTTTAAACTATGAAATAAGCAAATCTCTTACTTTCTCCCTTTTTTTTTGTCACATATCGGCAAAGTATAAAAGATTGTCTCATCGAGATAAAAGCATTTAGCGCTTTAACAGATATTTGCATTTGTAAAATGAAATGATTTATCTTTTAGTTTATTTATTGTTAGCATAAAAAAATATGCAAAAGTTTTTTCTTTTTGTGTAATTGACTAAAATAAATAAAATAATTTATCATTTTAGCATGAAAGAAAGAAATTTGAATACTACCAAATCAATTTATATTATTACCAAATAGGATAGAATTGATAGAATATGAAATTAAATTGTTGTTCAAGAAAAAAAAAAAAAAGTAGCCAGAATCAAAAATTATAAAAATTTAAAATAAAAAAATTAAATTTTTAATAAAAAAAAAAAAAAAAAACAGCATCGAGCATCAATC